GTATAAATTGGATATGAGAACTGCAGAAGGCCTATTGGCCCTTACTTCCTCTTGTTGCTTCCATATTGGTTCGGGGTCTTGAAGTGGGTAGAATATAGTTGTACATTAATCGGCTGTTGATTACTGGTATTGACTTTTTGATGTGTAGTGCCTCACTGATGTCGAGCCGCCTGCTATCACTGTACCTATCGATGATTTCTGTGTTGTTTGTTAAGATTTCTCTGATGATGGTCTGGTTGTGAAAAGAGATTATATGTTCCTTGATGGAGCCCTGTTGCTTATGCATTGTTAATCGCCTGGAAAGAGACGTTGTTGTCTTGCCTATATACTGAGTTCTTTGTGGCTTACAGTCCCCAAGTGGGCATTTAAAGGCATAGACGACGTTGGTCTCCTTTAAGGCGTTCTGCTTGGTATCTGGAGAGTTTTTCATGAGTAGATTGGCCGTTTTTTTTGTTTTATAATAACCAAATATTATAAGTGGTTCATATGCAAGTCTGTACATTAAGCATGGACACCGAGTTCTCCCACAATATTTTGTTCGAATCTCAACGCTGTAAATGCTTCACCCATGTACTACAAATACAAATAATCGCCAATAGAACCTAAACACCTAACCTAACCTATACCTATATATGCACAATATGCTAATAATTTTTTAATATTAATTTATATTTGAGAAAATTCCCGTTTTGGATGAACAGCATGTTAAAATTTCTGAATGCATCTGTGGGGTCGACCGCTGGATGTAATGGACTTGAGTCGAGGACGGGTTCAGTAAACAGATCTTTACATAAGGCTTCAAATCCAGGGCAAAAATTGCGAGATTCCCCAAACACTTCAATACCCTGGGAACTGTCCACACAATTCGTCACCACTCACACTTCACACAAGCCGTTCGACACATCCTCACCCTTCACACTCTGCGTCAACCGTCACACCCCTCACGACACCCCCCACACCCCCCCACACACCCCTCACGACACCCCTCACGATACACCCCCTCACACACCCCTCACATACCTCTGTACACCCGCACACCCACTTGAGTAGCACTCTTGGGTTGACCTTTACTGCATTAAGATGGCGGAATACCACCAATGAGCGACAATTGAGGCCCCCCCCCCCCCCCACTCCCCCTCTCACTCTGTTTTTTCTTTTAACTATGACTAGGGTTCCTAAGGGATGTGAAATGACGTGCCTGGTGAAAATGCAAGCAAGCGCTGTTATCCTACCTCAGCTCATCTGAAGCCTGCTGCTAGAAACTCATTTATTTCATGAGTTTATCACATAGGGATAAACAAACTATCACATAGGGAACACACTGTCTCTGTCACTCTGTGTGTGTGTGTGTGTGTGTGTGTGTGTGTGTGTGTGTGTGTGTGTGTGTGTGTGTGTGTGTGTGTGTGTGTGTCTGTCTGTCTGTCTGTCTGTCTGTCTCTGTCTGTCTGTCTGTCTGTCTGTCTGTCTGTCTGTCTGTCTCTCTCTCTCTCTCTCTCTCTCTCTCTCTCTCTCTCTCTCTCTCTCGAAATTACGACGACAGGAATGCGTTCACATACTCACCGCACAAGCCAGGCAATGTGTCATCCTCCACAACACATTAGTCAGTCGCAATCTTGAGTGCGCACTCCAATTCTGCTACCCTAAAATTACTTAAAGTTGCGTTACCCAACCTAACCTTAACGTGCCTGAAGGTCCGTGACATGGGAGTCGTGGCGGGAGCCGGCGGCCGAGCGGACAGCACGCTGGGCACGTGATCCCGGGTTCGATCCCGGGCGCCGGCGAGAAACGATGGGCAGAGTTTCTTTCACCCTATGCCCCTGTTACCTAGCAGGAAATGTTGTTGACAGTTGAGAGGCGGGCCGAAAGAGCAGAGCTCAACCCCCGCAAGCACAACTAGGTGAATACAGGTTAGAGGGACAGGCCGAAGAGGAAGTGGAAGTGCCACCAAGGAAGTGAACAAGGACGAGGATATAACACGGACGATGACCAAGGAACTATAGACACACTCACACACTGAGAGAATGCTTTAACTTACGCCAGTGAGAAGAAGCCGGAAACAATGGGTGCTCAGGATAAGAACCCGGAAACAATGGGTGCTCAGGATAAGAACCCGGAAACAATGGGTGCTCAGGATAAGAGCCCGGAAACAATGGGTGCTCAGGATAAGAGCCCGGAAACAATGGGTGCTCAGGATAAGAGCCCGGAAACAAAGGGTGCTCAGGATAAGAGCCCGGAAACAATGGGTGCTCAGGATAAGAGCCCGGAAACAATGGGTGCTCAGGATAAGAGACCGGAAACAATGGGTGCTCAGGATAAGAGCCCGGAAACAATGGGTGCTCAGGATAAGAGACCGGAAACAATGGGTGCTCAGGATAAGAGCCCGGACACAATGGGTGCTCAGGATAAGAGCCCGGACACAATGGGTGCTCAGGATAAGAGGCCGGAAACAATGGGTGCTCAGGGCAGGAGGCCTGGAGCATACCTGGAGATAACATGAACGGACATTTGTAAAACCATGTTGTGAGTCACTTATTTATTTATGTTTTTCAAGATGAAGACGAATGGTATTTGCAATTATCGATTCAAGTAACTTTCCCAGAATAGACGTTAAGCTAATTGGCCGATAGTTTGACATAACTGATCTATCTCCTTTCTTAAAAATTGGAACCGCATTAGCAACCTTCCACGACTTTGGCCCTCTGCCTGACTCTAATGATTGATTAAATATGGTAGACAATGGATCGTAAAGCTCCTCTTTGCATTCTTTAAGCACCCTGGCAAACACTTCATCTGGCCCTGGGGATTTGTTTGACTTGGGTTTCACTATTTGTTTAATAACATCCTCCTTGGTAACTGCTAAACTAGTCAACCTGTCCTCGTCCCCACCCACATAAACTTGTTCGGCTGAAGGCATAATGTTAAATTCCTCTTTAGTAAATACAGAGATAAAATATTTATTAAAAATTCTTCTCATCTCTTCGTCGTTATCGGTTATCTGACTTGTCCCAGTTTTTAATGGACCTATCCTTTCCCTAATTTTGATTTTTATATAACTGAAAAAACCCTTTAGGATTTGCCTTTGCTTGCTCTTGAACGCACTCTGCGTCACTCTGCCACACTCACTCTGCGTCACCCTGCCACACGCACTCTGCGTCACCCTGCCACACGCACTCTGCGTCACCCTGCCACACGCACTCTGCGTCACCCTGCCACACGCACTCTGCGACACCCTGCCACACGCACTCTGCGACACCCTGCCACACGCACTCTGCGTCACTCTGCCACACGCGCTCTGCCACACGCACTCTGCGTCACTCTGCCACACGCACTCTGCGTCACTCTGCCACACGCACTCTGCGTCACTCTGCCACACGCACTCTGCGTCACTCTGCCACACGCACTCTGCGTCACTCTGCCACACGCACTCTGCGTCACCCTGCCACACGCACTCTGCGTCACTCTGCCACACGCACTCTGCGTCACCCTGCCACACGCACTCTGCGTCACTGCCACACGCACTCTGGCGGGTGCGGCCGAGTGCAAGCCGCCGTCCTTCTCACCATCAGGAAGTAATAAAGGCAACACTCCCTGCTGGAGTGCCTACCTATCAGTGAGTACGGGGGCGTGAGCTTTAGCTCCGCATCCCCCGCCCCTGGCCTTGCTCTACCTGTTGCGATATAATCGACCTATTTTAACGTTCAAATCTTTTTGTCGAATCAGTCTTTACAGCTGTGGATGGAGGTGGCTTCCGCAGCTTCTCTCCGAGTATTCCACTTGCTGACCACCTGTGAAGGGTACCGGTATTTCCTTATATTTCTCCAGCTCCGTCGTTTCCAGCTTATACCTTTAACCTCTTGTTTTACTTTCTCCTAATTTAAAGATGCTGTCCGTATTTTGACAATTATATTTAGTGTCTTGTATGCTGCGATCATGTCCCCACTGTGAGGTCAGGTTCCATTCGTCTATCATGGACACAGGCCTGGGACACAGGTCTGGGACACAGGTCTGGGACACAGATCTGGGAGACCGGTCTGGGACACAGGTCTGGGACACAGGTCTGGGACACAGGTCTGGGACACAGGTCTGGGACACAGGTCTGGGATACAGGTCTGGGACACAGGTCTGGGACACAGGACTGGGACACAGGTCTGGGACACAGGTCTGGGACACAGGTCTAGGACACAGGTCTGGGACACAGGTCTGGGACACAGGTCTGGGATACAGGTCTGGGACACAGGCGTGTGAAGGTCGAGACACGATGGGAATGAATGACGAACATTTGCTGAACGAGGAGGTAATATATGTGGTTTACAGAGGAAGGAGATAAGGGTAGCTGATGTTGGGAGGAGAGAGAGAGAGAGAGAGAGAGAGGGAGAGGGAGAGAGGGAGAGAGGGAGAGAGAGAGAGAGAGAGAGAGAGAGAGAGAGAGAGAGAGAGGGAGAGGGAGAGGGAGAGGGAGAGGGAGAGGGAGAGGAGAGAGAGAGAGAGAGAGAGAGAGAGAGAGAGAGAGAGAGAGAGAGAGAGAGAGAGAGAGAGAATACACAGCTCTCATCCGTCTTTCTTTTCACAATTTACTTCTTGGATGTCTGGGTGGTGGGTGTGGATGGTGGCATCCATGGATGTCTGGGTGGTGGGTGTGGATGGTGGCATCCAATGGATGTCTAGGTGGTAGGTGTGGATGGTGGCATCCATGGATGTCTGGGTGGTGGGTGTGGATGGTGGCATCCATGGATGTCTGGATAGTGGGTGTGGATGGTGGCATCCCGAACAAGGATGCAGTGATCAAGGACACCCGCATCCATCTCTTGCAACATCCACCACCATTGGCATCGTTCGGTGCATTTGTCGCAGCGCCTGGGACCTGCTCGGCACTTACGGCTCCTGAGGCGGAGAAAGAGGGACATCAGGACTCAATTAGGAGATCATTGTTCCAAAAGGAGCCAGTGAGTGCCCGTCGTGGCCGGGTGCAGCGGGGTGCCACGCCCTACCTCCGCTGCCCAGATGACAGTCCTCCGCAGGCACCCACCCAGAGCACAGTGCCTCCCTCACTTGCCAGGGAACCAGTTCATGTTCGGTTGTCTAACAACTGCGTCCCTCCTCCTTCCTGCTCCTCGCGTACTCCGGTCGAGCAACGTTTAACATTGATCTGTTTACCATTACAGTTGTAACATTAGGGACCTCACGCAGGAATCTGAAATAACTAGTAACAATAAACTGAAGTTACTTCACATAGTCCTTGTAGTGGCAAGTGTTTTCACGGCTTTTCCTGCGTCTTGTGAGTAACTAACTGATCAGTGACAGCAAAATTTTATAAGGAAAAGCCATTTCCGGTGTCGACCAGCCGGAAGAGGCTGTCTGCCTTGAGTAGCTAGCCAGACCATTCCGGGTCATCTTGATCAAGAAGACCTTGTTCAGGCCCGTGACCAGCCTCCCCCGCTATGACCAGGTCCCTTCCCTTCTGGCTCCTCCTTAATGGGTGAGTTACTCTTTATATTTCACATATTTTAAGCTAAAAAAGCAAAACATACGCGTTACCAGACAACTTTAGTTTCACCTTCATATATAGAGATAAAACAGCATTTGTTTTTATTGGTGCGGGTTTAGGGGTAAAAACAGCCACACACGCGTCAAGTGCCGTGACTACTCTCAACTATTTATAGCCGACCATTGTGTTGGTCACTCTGGTCCATTGAGAAGTAACCTGGTGAATGAAGTTGATGGCAGCACTCACTCGCTGCCTGGTCTTCACCCAGACCTTCCTCTGTACTTGTGCTTCACAAGGTGATTCGTGAACCCAGACGTTTCTGCAAGACACCAGTCAAAGGTGCTGATAGAACCAGTTAAAGGTGTCAATAGAACCAGTCAAAGGTGTCAATAGAACCAGTCAAAGGTGTCAATAGAACCAGTCAAAGGTGTCAATAGAACCAGTCAAAGGTGTCAATAGAACCAGTCAAAGGTGCCGATAGAACCAGTCAAAGGTGTCAATAGAACCAGTCAAAGGTGTCAATAGAACCAGTCAAAGGTGGCAATAGATCCAGTAAAAATTTATGAAGCAATTGTTCTTAACTTTTCTATATCACATCATTGAGAAAATCACAGAAATCGACACGAAAACGGGTGTGTGTGTGAACTGACAGCACGACCACGAACGGATATAGTGACGCATTGATGCACGTACTCAGGGATGGTGAGACGTAAGGGAGCCTTGATGCAGAGACGCGGGGCACAAGGGACCATTGATGCAGAGGCGCAGGGCACAAGGGACCATTGATGCAGAGACGCGGGGCACAAGGGACCATTGATGCAGAGACGCAGGGCACAAGGGACCATTGATGCAGAGACGCGGGGCACAAGGGACCATTGATGCAGAGACGCGGGGCACAAGGGAGCCTTGATGCAGAGACGCGGGGCACAAGGGACCATTGATGCAGAGACGCGGGGCACAAGGGACCATTGATGCAGCGAGGCAAATAAAAAACGTCTGTAACTTTGAAGACAATCTTATTCACACAGCATTAACCAAATCTTAATTTTGTTGGTATGATGAGAGTGAGGCCGTACCTGTCCGGTATCTTTATTCCTACGGGGGTGAGGTCTAGCTCCTGAGACCCCACCGGCTTGTCGTAACTCTCCTGACCATCAGGTTCGTTATCGTAACTGGTAATGAAGTTGTGGATGGAGGTGGCTTCCAGTACTCCTTCTTTCAGTACATTCCATCTGTTGACCATCCATACATTATCACCTATGTCGTCCTGTTTTAACTTCTCTCACTTTAGAGAGAGAGAGACTGTCCTTGTCTGTTTTGCTTATTCACCAAAATATTGTGTATGTAGTAATCATATCCACTCTGATCTTTCTCTTCCCTAAGGTTGTGAGATTAGAATTCCTTTAACCTGTTCTCGTAATTACCTAAGTGTGTGTAATTACCTAAGTGTAGTTACAGGATGAGAGCCACGCCCGTGGTGTCTCGTCTTCCCAGTACTCTTTGTCATATAATGCTTTGACAATACTGACGGTTTTGGCCTCCACCACCTTCTCACTTAACTTGTTCCAACCGTCTACCACTCTGTTTGCAAAGGAAAACTTTCTAATATTTGTTCGGCACCTTTGTTTCCTTAGCTTGAATCTGTGACTTTTTGTTTGTAAAGTTGCCGGTTTCAGGAATTCCTCTTTGTCAATTGGGCGATTCCTGTTAGTATTTTATAAGTGGTGATCATGTCACCTCTTTTTCTTCTATTTTCTAGTTTCGGCATTTAACGCCTCTAGTTTCTCCTCGTGAATCTTGTACAAGTGACAGGATGAACAACCCAACGGGTTTTCTTTCTATTGGGGAGTGTTGTACATGCTGCTATGGCGGTGTGTCCACTCACAGGATAAGTGGCGCTGCCCAGTAAACTCGCCCCTCGGGGTAAAATATAAAAAAATAAAAATCTGTGTTTCAGGCTGGGCGTGGCGCTCTCCTTCAATGTGCGACTGGAGGAGATCCTCCACCTGAAGGTCTACGATGGTTCCTTCCTGCCTCGAGCCCGCCAAGGTCAGTCCCTTCACCAACAGTTTGGTTAGTCTTTTTAGTTAGTGTGTTCTGGAGAGATATAAGTGTGTGTTCCACTTTGTTTTGTTAAGTGTCTTAGTGTGTGTAGTTTCCTGAGTGTTTGCTAGTTTGATGAGCATTTCGTTTTTCTTATGTTTGCTACGTTAGTCTCCTTTGAGGTCTATTAGTTTATTTTGTATAACACCTCTTTCATGCATGTTTCGTTACTTGGCAGCGTGTTCCGCTACATTCCTCTTTCTTCCGCTAGTTTCCTGTGTGTGAACTGCTACTTTTACGTAGGTAAGTACATGTAGGAGAGTAGAGAGAGGGACCGGAGGAAGTACTCACCCCGTCGGTAAACGAAGACCACATGACATAAAGTAAAGACCGTGGCAATTGAGGCCAACACAACCCAACAACCTTCAACAGTAGACTCGAGGCAATTGAGACCAGTGGTGCACCAGACACCGGAAAGTAAAGAGGCGGTCTCTAGGAGCCAGTCCTCCCTACATATCAACATGTATAGGCAAATACATGTAGGTAACAGGGTAACTTTAACTCCTGGGGCCCATTTCTGAAGATTTGATCGAAAGGCGTACCTGATCAGCAGCCTCTGGGTTCTGTGTGACTTTCTTTAGAAATATCAAGCCTGCCTCTACTCTCGCTTCTCAGCTGATTCCTGTTTGTCATTTCCTCGCAGACCGTCTTCATAAACAAAGGCCAAATGGTCATTCCATCCAGCCGTCAAACCCCGCCCTCCCGATCCCGTCCTCAGATTAAGTTCCATCCAGCGACCGACCCCAAAGACGTGTTCACAATTTTAACATCCTGTTCATTCAAAATAGGAATTTCCTCAAACATAAATTAATATTATTATATATTAGTATATTGTGCTTATTTAGACGTGGGTTAGGTTAAGTGTTTGGGTTCTGTTGGCAATTATTTGTATTTTTGTACGTGGTGAAGAATTTGCAAAGTTTCGATTCGCACAGAGAACGTCAGTGAAGCACTGTTCGAGAAATGTTTGAACATTATCAGCTGTGAGCTGTGTAGAGAGCTTTTACATTCATAAACAATGGATTTTTAGCAGCTGTATTGAAGAACCTTTGAAGAACAATTGGCCTTTGTTGCTGAGAACGGGCTGCAAACCTTTTATCTATGAATGAAAATCCCTTTATGCACGACTCAACTGATGACGTTCGAACATTTCTCTCTCTACCGTCCATATCTAACCTATCTTAAGGCTAGCTATAGGCAACATGCTTGACTAAGTACGGGCTCCATGCTGGGGCCGCATACTCCAGGATTGGTCTTACGTTACGTGGTATACAAGGTTCTGAATGAGTCCTTACACAAGTTCCTGAAGGTAGTTCTGATGTTAGCCAGCCTCGCATACGCCGCTGATGTTATTCTTTTGCTGTAGGCTTCAGGAGACAGGTTTGGCGTGATATCAACTCCTAGATCTTTCTCTCTGTCCGTTTCGTGAAGGACTTCATCTCCCATTCGGTATCCAGTGTCTGGCCTCCTATTTCCTCCGCCTAGTTTCTTAACTTTACTTTTACTTGGGTTGAACTTTAGAAGCCATTTGTTGGACAATTCCTTCAGTTTGTCTAGGTCATCTTGTAACATCATAGTATCTTCCTCTGTCTTAATCCTCCTCATAATTTTTGCATCATCAGCAAACATTGAAAGGAACGAGTCTATTCCCTCTGGGAGATAATTTGCATATATTTGTGTGTGTGCGTGTGTGTGTGTGTGTGAGTATTCGCCTAGTTGTATTTAGCTGTGTTTGCGGGGGTTGAGCTTTTGCTCTTTCGGCCCGCCTCTCAACTGTCAATCAACTGTTTTACTAACTACATTTTTTTTTCTCCACACCACACACACACACCCCTTCTGTGTGTGTGTATGTGTATGTGTGTGCTCGAATTTATAATTACTTCAATTTATTGTAATTTTGATTTTGATTAGTACAGTAATAATAATAATAATAATAATAATAATAATAATAATAAAAACTACGACACTGTTTTCCAGGAAAATGTAGAACCTTGCAATTGCAAGCTGAAACATAGCAGTAAGATATAGTTCCTGTTCATAACATGTCCTGATATCTAATCCTTGCCTCTAGCAGGATGTATAATAAGTATGATTGGTATTAAAATGTTCAGTTGGCATTATTGCAACGTGTTGACGGTACATTGCAGGTCCGACGCGGGTCAACGTGTCCCTCGTGCTCAACTCTCTCCTTGTTGACAACACCGGCATGGTAGGTGACCCCCAGGTGTGACCCCAGGCACCCAGGTGTGACCCCAAGCACCCAGGTGTGACCCCAAGCACCCAGGTGTGACCCCAAGCACCCAGGTGTGACCCCAGACACCCAGGTGTGACCCTAGGCACCCAGGTGTGACCCCAGGCACCCAGGTGTGACCCCAGTGAAGAGTGTGGGTGTAGGTCATTGTTACAGTGGCGAGTGAGGGTGGAGGGAGTGTGGGTGGAGGCTGAGGACGCTTAGAAGGGAGAGGATGCTGAGTGCCAGATAAGCTGGATGAGAGGCGGAAGTGAGAGTGTACGAGCACACACACCCACACCCACACCCACACACACACACACACACACACACACACACACACACACACACAAACACACTCTATCTTGAGGCCGGTGTCAAGGTGTAAGATCCAGCTGTCTGCCAGTCTTTCAACGACACGTTGAGCACCCACGTCACATCTGAGTGCATCTTAAGTCTAAGAATTACCCTTATATTATCTCGAGGTCTTGGAAGATCTTGACAGCGTCCTAATGCCAGACACCCACACTTTGATGCCAACTGTCATCAGCCCAATGTCAATGGACAGAAACTGTCACTCTATGACAGGGGAAGTGAAAACCTCAGAGGTCCTGGATGATGAATAGCCAACTCACCGCAGAGGAGGAAGATTGGACTATGCTCTCCTGCTCAATGCACAGGACACGGATGCCAGTACACACATTGTGCACAGTTTATGTAGTGACCACTGGGCCACTATTACCACCGTCGACATGAGCAAGAGAAGGAAAGAGACAAGTAACGGAAAAAGGTTATCACTAGGAGCGGATATCAGGCCGCACTTCATGAACAAGATGAGTGACTGGTTCACGAAATCACAGAAGACATTGATAAATTTATTGATGACCTTAATCGCCAAACCTGAGAGCTGTCTCAGAGTTCCGAGCAGTACGACTGGGCGAAGTAACCCTCAGAAGACAAAAAAATGGTATGAGAACGATTACATAAAGATGGTCAATGTAATGGACATGAATAGAGAGTACCGGAGACATCCCACAGAAAGTAACCAAGAGCTGTTTAAAACTGTGTGTCAAGTAGCCAGGGAAGAGAAGATTAAAGAGCGGGAAAGACAATTGCTTGACTTCACTAGCTATATTGAAGGAGAAAAATCTGCAATACAAGTGTGGGCAAAACTTCAGATAGCCAAGGGGAGCAGAGCCCGGCCTGCGGCTCACAAAGACCCCCAGGGTAAGGCTGAAGAACTAATACACAAGTGGAGTGATGCAGCATTCTCCTCCTCCCTCCCTGCAGAAGTAAGCAGGGAACAGCTCCTGCGACATAATGACAGAAGGACTAAGATAACAAGAGCACTGTCTAGTGATGACGAGTATGGGGAACCAATCACAGCCCAGGAAGTAATGGAAACACGTAATAATTGTTCCCATACCGAAGCCCAATGACCCTGGCAATTACAGACCTATCAGTCTCATGTCATGCACATGCAAGATGCTTGAAAGGATCATCCTAAACCGACTGTTGCACAAAATACGCAGGTTAGGGGAGGGGGTCAATAGATTTGTTTAAGGACGGAGTACACCAAATTGTATAGTTAATTACCTGGCTAATGACACAGCTAAGTACACTGTATTTGTTGACGTCAAAGGAGCTTACGAAAAAGCGCAGGGGATTGCGATCCTGGACGAGCTTGCATGCATGGGTGTCACGGGAAGACTCATGAAATGGATTGAAAACTACCTCACAGGGAGGAAAGCCAAGGTCTGCTTCAATGGAGTAATCTCTAGAACAATGAGATGGAACTCGGGACCCCCCAAGGCGGAGTCTTAAGCCCCCACTTTATTTAATGTACTTGTGAACGCCATTGCAAATATTAAATTTCCGGAAGGAACACAACAAGTGGGATATGCAGATGATGGCCTAATACAAGCTCTCGCCTTGGGAAAAATAAAACAGTCCCTTGAACTCCTTGAAAAGAAATGCGTTGAATTCGGTTTCACTCTCGCCACAAACAAGACAAAAGCATAACCCTCATCACAAGCGGGGAGAAAATGAACACTTACAAGTTAATGGTGAAACACTTGAATGGGTTGACCACTATTGGTATCTTAGCGTCACTGTCGTTTGTAACAAGGGAAAGAATGGGGAGCTCAACCAACTTATAGGGACATGTAAAAATTTACTCAGGGCACTGAAAGCAATGACCTGGAATGGGAATGGGGCCTCTATTGCAGTGCTTAAAATGATGTACACAGCCTATGTGCGCTCCGTCATAGACTATGCCGCACCAGTCTTGTGCACTTACTCCCAAAGCAATATGAAAAAACTTGAAGGCACACAAAATGAAGTCCTGACAATCATTCTTGGAGTCCCAAGACCTGCCAAAACATCTAATTTACGAGAGGAGTTGTCCCTCCACAGTGTTAAAAGCAGAATTAAGGAACTGAATGTTAAGCTTGCAATTAATACTAGTAAGTACACTCTAGCCCTGATGTAAACTCTCAGTGTATACTCCCGGAGAAACAGGACACTTCCCTCGGTGCATGTATCCTTATACAACTCGTCTCAAACTATTCGACTCCAATCTTCATCTTGGCTTCGAACTGCGGGACATGTATTACTCACCGGCTTACCTGTCCCTTCTCTATCCTGTGATATGCCTACCTATCCCCACTCGTCCTAGCACCTCTCACCTTCATGTTCTGAAGTAACCAGTCTGGTCTCCGCAGGTCTTGGAGATCACGGGGGAGTTGCTGCAGGAGTGGGAGGACCCCAACCTGGTCTTCTCCGGCAGCAGCGGCGGCGGCATCCTCACGTCTGTGGGTCTGTCAGGTAGGTGACGCCCCCGGCTTGTGGTAGCTTATGTCTCTGTCTCGGCCAGACTTGCTTTCATCATGGACACACACACTGTGTATGTGTGATGACAGTATGGTGTCGTCGTGAACACACAGACTGTGTATGTGTGATGACAGTATGGTGTCGTCGTGAACACACAGACTATGTATGTGTGATGACAGTATGGTGTCGTCGTGAACACACAGACTGTGTATGTGTGATGACAGTATGGTGTCGTCGTGAACACACAGACTATGTATGCATGATGACAGTATGGTGTCAGAATGAACACAGACTGAATACATGATGAAAGTATGGTGTCATTATGAATACACACGCAATAGTGCCTTGCGCACACTCACAAGTCTGGGCATGTGTGTGTGTGTGTGTGTGTGTGTTAACATTGGAATTTAGGGGCGCAATTGTCTATTGTGCGTGTTCCCGGGTCTAACTGCGTGCAGTGCCTGAAGCTGGCTAGGGAATATAACTGCTCCTTCAGTGTACGTTGTTATCTAGCCCAAGTTGGGCTAGGTAAGGTATTAATGTTTGGAGCGTTTAGGAATATTTATTTAGGACGTCTGTGCTAGCGTTGAAAGTTTTGACGCAGGAAGTGCTTGGCTCAGAGTCCCACGTACAGGTAATTGTCACAGAACCAAGACCTCTAACCTAACCTAACCCAACCCTAACCTAACCCAGCCTAACCTAACCTAACCTAACTCTAACCCTAACCTAGCCTAGCCTAACCTAACCTAACCTAACCTAACCTAACCTAACCTAACCTAACCTAACCTAACTAACCTAACCTAACCTAACCTAACCTAACCTAACCTTACCCAATCTTACCTAATCTTGGTAATATATAATTTGTATGTTAAACTTGTTGTGGAGACTCTCCCAAGCATAAGACTCCCTGTATGTAAGGCTAGTAACACCACTACACGCCAAATATTTCCCTTGTTTGTAAATTATTTAAAACAATCTGTACTTAACGACTCACAAGCTATTTGGTCTAGTTTCTCACTGATGCATTCAGGTGAACAATACGTGCAGAGGCTGAGCGCCTCCAATCCCCGCCACATAACACAATCTCTGGACACAGAACAAAGAGAGCAAGCACCTCTATTTTCCCCAAGAACAATGTTCTTTGTTTCACTTGCCCGCAGTATTCCCCTGAGGACAGGTGTTGCTGCGTGCTTCAAGGGGTTACTAGTCGCCTCATTATGTAGTACTAACACCGCTGTCTCTCCCCAGGTTCGTCAGGAACAATACAAGACCAACTGTGGCACCCCGACCTGACGGCCGCTCACGAAATCCATCCTAAGAAATACAAACCTGCGAGCTTCATCAGAATCACCCAGGATGGTTATGTCTCCTGGACCCAGAGGTGAGGTGCCCTGTGAGTAGATGAGATGCCCTGTGGGTAGATGAGGTGCCCTGTGAGTAGATGAGATACCCTGTCAGTAGATGAGGTGGTCTGTGAATAGGTTAGATGCCCTGTGAGTAGCTGAGATGCCCTGCGAGTGAGGTGCCTTGTTAGTGGTATGGTAGTGCAAGTGATAAGGTGGCGTTAGTGGTAACCCAGTGGCGCGCACAAGGTTGTCATCTTGAGTAAAAACGTTCAGGTGTATGGTGTTTGTGGTGACGGAGTGTACTCACCTAGTTGTGCTTGCGGGGGTTGAGCTTTGGCTCTTTGGTCCCGCCTCTCAACCGTCAATCTACTGGTGTACAGGTTCCTGAGCCTACTGGGCTCTATCATATCTACATTTGAAACTGTGTATGGAGTCAGCCTCCACCACATCACTTCCTAGTGCATTCCATCTGTTAACTACTCTGACACTGAAAACTTCTTTCTAACGTCCCTGTGGCTCATTTGGGTACTCAGTTTCCACCTGTGTCCCCTTGTTCGTGTACCACACCTGTTAAATAATCCATCCTTGTCTACCCTGTCAATTCCCTCGAGAATTTTGTATGTGGTGATCATGTCTCCTCGAGCTCTTCTGTCTTCCACCGACGTGAGGTGCAGGTCCTTCAGTCTTTCTTCGTAACTCATGCCTCTTAGTTCCGGGACTAGTCCAGTGGCATATCTTTGAACTTTTTCTACCTTCGTTTTGTGCTGGCCAAGGTACGGGCTCCATGCTGGGGCCACATACTCCAGGATTGGTCTTACATATGTGGTATACAAGGGTCTGAAAGATTCCTTACACAGGTTTCTGAAGCCAGTTCTAATGTTTGCCAGCCTCACATACGCTGCCGATGTTATTCTTTTGATGTGTGCTTCAGGAGACAGGTTTGGTGTGATATCAACTCCAAGATCTTTCTCTCTGTTCGTTTCGTGAAGGACTTCATCTCCCATTCGGTATCCAGTGTCTGGCCTCCTATTTCCTCCGCCTAGTTTCATTACCTTATATTTACTTTTGTTGAACTTTAGTAGCCATTTGTTGGACCATTCCTTCAGTTTGTCTAGGTCATCTTGTAGCCTCATACTATCTCCCTCTGCCTTAATCCTTCTCATAATTTTTGCATCATTAGCAAACACTGAGAGGAACGAGTCTATTCTCTCTGGGAGATCATTTACATATAACAGGAACAGCACAGGTCCAAGAACTGATTCTTGAGGGACTCCACTGGTGACGCCTCGCCACTCCGAGACCTCCCCTCACAGTGACTTGCTTCCTTTTGTTGCTTAGGAACTCCCTTATCCAGTGGAGTACCTTCCCCTTCATTCCTGCCTGCATCTCCAGTTTGTGCACTAGTCTCTTATTTGGTACTGTGTCAAACGCTTTCTGGCAATCCAAAAATATGCAGTCTGCCCAGCCCTCTCTTTCTTGCCTGGTCATTGAATTAAATATATCCTGAGAGGCATGATTTGCCATATCTGAATCCATGCTGATGTTGTGATACAAAGTTCTTCCACTCCAGATGTTCCACTAGCTTTTTTCTCACAATCTTCATCATCTTGCATGGTATACAAGTTAGGGACACTGGCCTGTAGTTCAGTGCCTCCTGTCTGTCACCCTTCTTGAATATCGGGACTACATTAGCCGTCTTCCAAATTTTTGTCAGTGAGGCGTTGATGGTGACCAAGTATGGTGTTGGTGACGACTGAGGTATTGATAGTGACCAAGTATAGTGTATATGGTGACTGAGTGTGGTGTTACAGGGTGCAGTACTCCATCCCGTGTGAGCTGGACCTCAGCAGCTACCCCCTCGGCCTCCACACCTGCATTCTCAAACTCAACAGCTGTGAGTACCCGTGTTAAACCTGTTTGTACTTCCTCACGCCAAGTACCGGGGAGAACGCACACCTCCACCTCCTAGACTTATGGACCTTCTCCTCTACTTGTGAACCTTCTCCTCTATTTGTGAACCTTCTCCTCTACTTGTGAACCTTCTCCTCTACTTGTAAACCTTCTCCTCTACTTACAAACCCTTGTAACGGCTAGGGAAGTCTCCTGCATTATTTTCTATATTATTCTCCTTTTCTATATTATATAAATCTATATTTTCTAATATTATTTGGTGTTAAGGTTAATTATTAAGGCTACAGATTGGTGAAGGTAAGAGCGACATCATTCTAAAAGGTGACAGCAGTGTTTACCACTAACAGTCATCACAAATGGTACATTACAATAGGGAAGGTGACGTTACTTCCTGGACTTACGAACACTTCCTCTTAAATGGTGAACCCTTCTCCTTGACTTACGAACATTTTCTATTATGTATTCACACTCTGAGAATTATATTTTCAACTGTGTTTATTTTTCTTAAGTACTACATTTTCTCACTGTTGATGTTAGTGTGAGGCTCTTATCCTGTTGACATGTGTAACTGTTGTCACGTCTGTTGTGAATGTTTGACAACTGCTGTCAAAACTTTCAAGCTTTGAAAAAAATTATATTTTTATTTGTGTAGCTTTTGTAATTTCCACCTTGACATCACCTTCCCCTGATCCACCACCTTCCCCTGATCCACCACCTTCCCCTGATCCACCACCTTCCCCTGATCCACCACCTTCCCCTGATCCACCACCTTCCCCTGATCCACCACCTTCCCCTGATCCACCACCTTCCCCTGACCATGTCCTGCATGTCATATGCATGTCATGGCCGATGAAAAATACTTCACCAGAACCCCTTATCACCTGGTCTTATAAAGTGGACTCTGGTGCCTTAGTGAAGCATCTAATGACCCCATTTGTTCTCCCCCTAGTCTCCTCATGTGATGTTTTCTGACCCCTCATGTCCTCATGTGATGTTTTCTGACTCCTCATGTCCTCATGTGATGTTTCCTGACTCCTCATGTCCTCATGTGATGTTTCCTGACTCCTCATGTGATGTTTCCTGACCCCTCATGCCTTCATGTGATGTGGCAGTGGGCTATGAGCAGAGTGAGCTACAGCCGGTGTGGTACGGAGACACAGCCGTCGACTACACCAACATGATGATCTCTCACGGCTGGGAACTCACGGACGTCAAGCTTACGGCCAAGACTGTCGTCTCAGCTCACAGTAAGTTATCAGATTTTTGAGTGTTCCAACAACCCTGTGTCTTTCTCCAGTGTTGAGGGTTGCAGGCACCCTGTGTCAATCCCCAGTGTTGAGAGTTCCAGTAACCCTGTGTCAGTCTCCAGTGTTGAGGGTTCCAGGCAGTTTCCGTGTCTGCCTGAGTATTGTTGATGTTAAGCTGACATCTTAAATCCCCTGTGTTAACTTCTCTTTTAATGCTCTCAAATTATTACCAGCTTAGTGGTAACAATTCCGTATGCCTGTATGTACTACACACATAATTGTCTAATCCGGATCTAGGATTGGTTTGCCTTTCTTTTCGTGCTGCTGGGCTCTTTACGTGTAACTGTTTATAGGCTGAAAGGAAGATTACTGAACAATGAATTAATGACCATCTATTGTGAGATAATATTGTAGAGGACTATTGTAAATTGTTATGTATTTCTAGTTTTATTGAATACTAAAGTTCTTTTTGCCAGTTTTAAATCCAGTCTGCTCTTAAGTAACATTTGTAAATACTTGTTGACAAACGAGCTCATATAAGAGAGCTTCACCACGCACGGGAGACTTATCTGAGAGAGGGGCTGTTGTTCCTGGACTCTTAGAGCCACAGTGATTACATGTATGCAAGGAATTCAGTTTCGTTAATACCAAGATCAAATAAATATTAAGATAATGTGAAATTATTTTGACAAGATATATATACACCAAGAGATATACCCACTTTGTGTGTGTGTATGCACATAATAGTTTACCTCAGTCGTAAAATAGTCAGCTGCTTGGTTAGTAAGTCAGTATGGTGTCCTTAATACCCCTCCCGAGGTTGACAGGCCTTAATCCCAACACTAAAACAGTCTAACGACGTGTACAGCAAGTAACTTATGAATGATCTCAAGTTAGCCTCATAACATACCTGCACGCTCCTGTGAGTCTCTCTGCGCTACCGCCGTGAAGCCTGACGCTAGAGCAATGTCAGTTTGCGGGCGCCATGCCCACTACAGCGGGTGTTGCTGCTAGGCAGCTCTTGCGCGCGACCTGTCGGTATACAAATATCCTTAAAACGACGCTGATTAACTAACATGAATGTACCGTTGTGTGGCGCCGGCAGGAGCGAAGAGGCAGCTGCGGGTGGAGATGGAGCTGGAGTCTTCGGGAGGGTGGGAAGTGAAGCACACCGTCATCCCCATGATCGCCACCGTCACCACCGCCTACCTCTCCTTCTTCATCAACATCAGAGGTCAGTCAGTGCGAACTCAATTCTCTTTCTCTGGAAGTGTCGAGTGAGTGAGGCCCGTGACCTGCTCTTCCCGTGCCCCCAGGTAGTGTGACCCAGGCCACTGGGGTGTAGCCATTGTGTTGATGAGACCAGAGCTCCCCACCAGCCACATTACATTAATATATAATGCACTGTAGTAACCTGTTATATCATCAGCCACTGTCATAACTCACAGGTGTGTGTCATCCGTCATTGACAGATGACAGACCCCTGCTGACGGGTGTGCGTGCAGTTCCTGGGCGAAAATATTAAGAGTTGTGTGTGTTGTTTACAGGAACGAGCACCCGAGTGATCCTGTGCATGCTGTCGCTGCTGACAGCCGCCATCTTCCACGAGAGCACCTACAGGAGCGTGCCCACGGCCTCCTACACCATGGTAACCACCTGGCTCGCTCTCCTCACCTCCATACACCCGCCTCTTCCACTTCTTCTTGCGACTCGTAGCTGCACTTCACATCATTTTCTCATTTATCATATTACCTTCTGTTTCGCCAATACTGATTTTGCACTGGGATAAAAAATAATAAGTTCTCGATATATATATATATATATATATATATATATATATATATATATATATATATATATATATATATATATATATATATATATATATATATATATATATATATATTTTATATTGGTGTATACTGGCAGCAGGTTTTCTTTTATAGTAGTTTTTATAGAGCATTAATACACAGGTTGTAAGTACTTGTAACTGGTAGTAACAGTGTTCTTGTACCAGTGGCACTTGGTGGTCAAACGCCAAGCCGTACAGGGTACCAATGGGCCAAGGTTACAGTACAAGAAACGGTGAACAACGTAGCCGGTAACTAACCTTCCATATGAGCTCAGAGCAGAAGGGTCATTTGGCTACCATCACCAGTTCCAGATGATATACAGTGCCACATGGGTGTCACACAAGGCGGAAGTGTCATACAGCGTGAGAGCGGGTGGACGTTGACACGATTCTCCTCTTCTGCAGGCGATCGAGGTGTTCACGGGGACGTGCTTGAGCTTCATCTTCGTGGCGACGGTGGAGAGCGTGGTGGTGGACGTGCTGGCCCACCTGGCCGCCAGGGGCAGGCGATCAGACCCCTCCTCACACACTTCCTTTGCTCTAGAGGTCCGTGATGAAAAGGTAGTAGTGCTGGGATGGCTGTGGGATGTATAGGAGATAGAGAGAGGTAGAGAGAGAGGTAGAGAGAGAGGTAGAGAGAGAGGTAGAGAGAGAGAGGTAGAGAGAGAGAGAGAGAGAGAGAGAGAGAGAGAGAGAGAGAGAGAGAGAGAGAGAGAGAGAGAGAGAGAGAGAGAGAGAGAGAGAGAGAGAGAGAGAGAGAGAGAGAGTATAGATGAAGAAAGGAGGGATAGGAAGAGGACATAGATCCTTGTAATCACCCCAAGGTAACCCCCAAGGTAACTAGCTAACAACCTATGCTCCCCACAGCCTGACCTCTCGGACGAGCGTGGCGGGACTCGGGGCAACATGGCGGCGCTCTGGTTGGACCGTTGCTTCCGTGTCCTCTACCCGGCTGCCTTCATCGCCTTCAACGCCGTCTACTGGGTGCTCTACAAGTAACCCTCGACGACACCTGCAGGAACCACCACCTGTGTACAGTCATCCCTGTGTACCACAGCCGGGCAAACATCACACCACAATTCTCTCAACGATGGAATTTGAACAGATTGGGTCAATAATTATGCACCGTTTATATCTAGTGAAGTTGCCCTTTAGAAACGTCATCCAGCGCGGGTCACAAGCCATCAGTTCAGGGGAAAATATTATAACAATGGTTTCTTAAAAGTTACTCTGCACCACAAAGAACAATTTTCAGTACTAAAATTCCATTAAGAGTTCTTTTAAATATTTCCCATTATTACTTGTTTTTAAAGATTTTAAAATTTCTCGGCCACTAGCTGCACGAATTATTGCAATGAAATTATATATATATATATATATATATATATATATATATATATATATATATATATATATATATATATATATATATATATATAATGTTTTATGACATTGCTATGTTACCTTTGGGTGTACACAATTGTGCATCAGGTTTATATCACAGGAACCTATGTATATTGCTAGCTGGGGTTTAGTAAGGGGGATGGGGGAGGGATGTACAGGGAGGGAGAGTGTGTACTCACCTAGTTGTGCTTGTGGGGGTTGAGCTTTGTCTCTTTGGTCCCGCCTCTCAACTGTCAGTCAACTTCTGTACAGATTCCTACTAGACATGATAGAGCCTACTGGGCTCTATCATGTCTACTTTTGAAACTGTGTATGGAGTCAGCCTCCACCACATCACTTCCTAATGCATTCCATCTGTTAACTACGCTGACACTGAAAAGGTTCTTTCTAACGTCTCTGTGGCTCATTTCTCACGAGTATGGCTACTCCGCCTCCTTCCCTACCCTCCCTCTCTTTCCTTATTATAGTGTAGTCCTGGGGAAACACCGTATTCATTATGATTCCTGAGAGTTTTGTGTCCGTGAGTCCAATCACATCAGGGTTTACTTCGTATGCTCTTTCCCTAAGTTCACTTGCCTTGCTTGTAATCCCATCTGTGTTTGAGAACATCACCTTGAAGCTAATTCTTTTTCTGTCCATCCTCAGTTTCTTTTGATCCCTGAGTAAGGAAGCAGGGAGGGTCTGGGATGGGAAGGGGAAATGGGGGACCTGGGGTGTGAGGGGGGCTGGGAGGAGGGGGGGGGACCTAGGTTGTGAAAGGGCTGGGTGGAACTGGTATGGATAGGGTAGGGGGGGGGGAAAGGAGGGCTTGAGAAGGTGGGGGAGAGGAGAGGGCTTGGGGGTGGGGAGTGGAGAAGGAAGGGCTTAGGGGGGTGGGGGGAGAAGGGAGGACTTGGGGGGGGAGGGTGGAGAAGGGAGGTCTTGAAAAGAGGGGGGTTGGGGGGGGGGGGAGGTTGGTCTAGGTGGGCACTTAGTGGGGGAGAGGGGGGGGGCTGGCAGGGGCTGGGGCAGGTAGGGCTACTACTGGGTTGAACATTTATTTATTATTTTTAAGAGTGATGATTTTGTGTTGATCTGTGTGAAATAGGTAGGTGATGACTAGTGAGGAACGTGGGTGATGAATAGTGAAGAATGTGGATGGTGAATAGTGAGTTATGTGGGTGATGAATAGTGAGGAATGTGGATGGTGAATAGTGAGTTATGTGGGTGATGAATAGTGAAAAATGTGGGTGATGACTAGTGGGGCATGTGGATGGGAGAAGTAAAGAATTGTAGAAACGTTACCAGGAAATAAAATGTAATATATTAGTAAAGTTGTGTTTAATTTACCGCATCACACAAGATAATCAAAGAAATATCAAAAGGGATTCTTGATGCAGGCTCTATCATTTATTACTGTAAGATGTGTCCTGGACTTAATGTAAGATGTATCCTGGACTTAATGTAAGATGTGTCCTGGACTTAATGTAAGATGTGTCCTGGACTTAATGTAAGATGTGTCCTGGACTTAATGTAAGTTGTGTCCTGGACTTAATGTAAGTTGTGTCCTGGACTTAATGTAAGATCTGTCTAAGACTTTAAGGAGGCAACTGCAAAATAATTTGTTTGGAAACAATACACAGAAGAATCATGTGCAATGATATCTTCCATACCAGTGTGGGAGGTCGCAGAGAACTGCCCGGTCCTCCTCCTCACGTGGTAGTAACTCCTGGGTCCTCCTCCTCACGTGGTAGTAACTCCTGGGTCCTCCTCCTCACGTGGTAGTAACTCCTGGCTCCTCCTCCTCACGTGGTAGTAACTCCTGGGTCCTCCTCCTCACGTGGTAGTAACTCCTGGGTCCTCCTCCTCACGTGGTAGTAACTCCCGGGTCCTCCTCCTCACGTGGTAGTAACTCCTGGGTCCTCCTCCTCACGTGGTAGTAACTCCCGGGTCCTCCTCCTCACGTGGTAGTAACTCCTGGGTCCTCCTCCTCTCGTGGTAGTAACTCCCGCGTCCTCCTCCTCTCGTGGTAGTAACTCCTGGGTCCTCCTCCTCACGTGGTAGTAACTCCCGGGTCCTCCTCCTCACGGGTAGTAACTCCTGGCTCCTCCTCCTCACGTGGTAGTAACTCCTGGGTCCTCCTCCTCTCGTGGTAGTAACTCCTGGGTCCTCCTCCTCACGTGGTAGTAACTCCTGGGTCCTCCTCCTCACGGGTAGTAACTCCTGGGTCCTCCTCCTCACGGGTAGTAATAACTATCACCTTATTATAACTAGACTCATCACCCTTCAAAGATTAAATCCTAACTGACAAATAACAATTAAAAACTACAACTACTAAATAACATGTAAATACTGAGATATTAACAATATGCTTTGCTTAATTATTTTTGAATAGTTTCATAAATAGATAAATTATGAATGAAGATTTTGAATTTGGTGAAGAATATTTGTTTAAAAGAATATTAAATGTTTAAATGTTTCTTCGTTTGTAGTGAAAAAAAACAACAAAAAATATATATATTATACGTATTCAGCTACGTGTAATTTTTCAAGGAAAACGAAAACATAAATGACCATCCAAATTTTTGTTACTTTTTCCTCATGTTAAGAGTTCAGTCCCCTGGGGAATGAGAAAAAAAAAACCGACTTAAACTCTACATTTTTATGTGACGAGTAATTGCTGCAAAAGTATGCCTTGAGGATTTTATTAGTAACAGCCTTCTAGCAAAGTGTTATTTGGTCATGGTTAAAGGGACACGATATTTTGATTCAAGCTCCCCTGAAGTCCAGCACCAAGGTTAAAATTCCACATCAACTTCCGGGAACCCTCCGTCACAGGTTAACACAGCCCTAGCACCACCGGAGGCATTACCTGGTAAGTGCCACATCACCAACACCCGAGGCATTAACTGGCAAGTGCCACCTCACCAACACCTGAGGCATTAACTGGCAAGTGCCACCTCACCAACACCTGAGGCATTAACTGGCAAGTGCCACCTCACCAACACCTGAGGCATTAACTGGCAAGTGCCACCTCACCAACACCTGAGGCATTAACTGGCAAGTGCCACCTCACCAACACCTGAGGCATTACCTGGCAAGTGCCACCTCACCAACACCTGAGGCATTACCTGGCAAGTGCCACCTCACCAACACCTGAGGCATTAACTGGCAAGTGCCACCTCACCAACACCTGAGGCATTAACTGGCAAGTGCCACCTCACCAACACCTGAGGCATTAACTGGCAAGTACCACCTCACCAACACCTGAGGCATTAACTGGCAAGTACCACCTCACCAACACCTGAGGCATTAACTGGCAAGTGCCACCTCACCAACACCTGAGGCATTAACTGGCAAGTGCCACCTCACCAACACCTGAGGCATTAACTGGCAAGTGCCACCTCACCAACACCTGAGGCATTAACTGGCAAGTGCCACATCACCAACACCTGAGGCATTACCTGGCAAGTGCCACCTCACCAACACCTGAGGCATTAAGTGCCACCTCACCAACACCTGAGGCATTAACTGGCAAGTGCCACCTCACCAACACCTGAGGCATTAACTGGCAAGTACCACCTCACCAACACCTGAGGCATTAACTGGCAAGTGCCACCTCACCAACACCTGAGGCATTAACTGGCAAGTACCACCTCACCAACACCTGAGGCCTACACTAAAAATCATCACATTTATATGCAGTTCCAAATCACTGCTGGCGATTGCCATCATTTATATACTGACATGATAACGACTTATATCGTATAATTATGTTCACACAGCACTATATTTGTATAGTATTTACAATAAAGTAGCAAGAGGTCATATCATTGTTAATGTCCAAATTATTTTCTTTCAGTAACACACAGTGTTAAAGGAACATTTTAAAGATAATAAATTAGGTGAGGTATACATTAAATTTTATGGAATTGTAAGTTACAATAAGTACAGTTACAGTACTATGAACTAGTGTGAAAGACCCGCCTAGTACTTATTTATTTTATTTATTTATATAAAAGAAGGTACATTAAGTTGAGAAAGTACATAATATCAGTGTTCTTACATCATGCTAAGCCAGTAACACGCACAGCTTTTCCGGTAGTTTAGTAGTGGGATCGTAGTCACTGGTCTGGAGCTGTGGGTAGCCCAGCATGGGTTGTGAAGTCACTGGTCAGAAGCTGTTGGTAGCCTAGAATGGGTGGTGTAGTCACTGGTCTGGAGCTGTGGGTAGCTTAATATGGGTCGTGAAGTCACTGGCCTGGAGCTGTGGGTAGCTTAGAATGGGTGATGACATTGGTCTGGAGCTGTGGGTAGCTTAGCATGGGTGATGTAGTCACTGGTCTGGAGCTGTGGGTAGCTTAGCATGGGTGATGTAGTCACTGGCCTGGAGCTGTGGGTAGCTTAGCATGGGTGATGTAGTCACTGGCCTGGAGCTGTGGGTAGCCCAGCACCAGCAGGAGGCGATTGATCCTTCTGACGACGTTGGCAAACATTTTCTTCTCGTCTTCAGTGAAGGGGTCGATGGTCCTGGTGGTGGTCCTCTTGAGGGACCCGTCTATGTGCTTGGAGAGACAGGATAGTCTTCCCTCGTCCACAGGAATCCTGTGGGAGGGAGGGAGGCAGTGGCATTTAGCTGGGAGTTACAGGCGCTCGTCCTCCACTCAATCACTTTCAAAATTCTAGCTCTTGAGCGCTGGGAAAATATACTATTTCCCAGGTCTATTGTATGAAAACACTTTCGAGTTTGACGATTTGCATTTGTTAGTCAAGAATTGTTTTATGTGCGAAATATTATATACGAGATACTGGTCTCGAACTCAGTTGTCAACTCACAAGAGAAAGTTAAACAAACCTTGAAGTTGTTTTAACTCTTAACAGTCTTCCATTGTGTAATTTATTATTCCTGGACATTAATATAGGAAATAATTTAGCGTGTACTTCAAGACGGGATGAAGAGTTAAGATTAATGAAATTTGTACTAAAAAATTTGAATTTGAGTCATTTTAAATTATAAGTGAAAGAAAATTGGGGTCCCTAAGGAGAGTTGTGAAGGTTGTGGAAGAGTGTGTGAGGTTACCTGAGGAAGCGCAGCAGAAGGCGGAGGTGGTAGATGGGGTGACGTAACAGGTCATCGTAGTGGATGACGTAGAGCGGACCAGAGCACCACAAGAGCCGGTCTGCTGCCAACTCCTCCCACAGTGACGTCACCTCACTCACGAAGTCATGGAAGTCTATCGAGAGACAAACCTGGAGTCATACCCAGAGCGTCTGTCCCTCAGTAACGTCACAAAACACCAGCCAGAGAACTGGGTAATATACTTCACTAATCCTCAATGTTAAAAGGTAAGTTGTACCAATGAAGAGCGAAGCTCACTAACCTTTACCCTGGAACCTGGCCGCCGGTATCTCGTCCAGGTGCTTGTTGCTGCCTTCCAGGTTGAAGAGCTTCCAGTAGGAGATGATGGTCCTGCAGTGGAGACTGTATTACATCTCAGTGTGTAAGTTGCGATACCAGTAACACAAAAATCACATTAACGAGATGTATGAGATACATTGTAGGAGCTGTAAGGAGGATTTGAACCTGCACACTGGGTTCTGCCAGGCACACGCCCTAAACAAACTAGGTCACGACATGCTACGAAAGTAATGCAATCTGGGATTCAAATGAATTCAGTGCATGGGGAGGGAGGAGCCCCTGAGGCTTTCACTAAAACTCTGACTAGGTTTCTGTGGAAGCCTCAGGACATAGGATTCAGTTGAATCCCTAGTTGCATAACTTTTGTAGCACATCGTGGTCCAGTGGTTTAGGGCGTGTGCCTGGGATGCCAGTAATGTTATGTACGGTACTGTGATATAATACATTAGTAACTGTAGTGCGATTGTTACTTTTATGAATGACTGTTCTGTAGAGCGTTGTAGGTTCCGAAGGAAAGTGTAGGTCCTGGGATTGAGACTAATTTCACAAGGCGGTCATGAGACAGTAGGTAATGAGATTTAAAGCAGGGAGGAACTCTCAGTTCTAAGTCCCCCTGACCTTGAGAATATGCTAGGACTGAGAGCAAGTCCATCCAAGGATTGTAGAATTAAGTGAACGAAGCTCCTGTTGCTGAGGTACAGGTACTAAAATATGTGAAATAGATGGTGGTATTGACCTGGCTGGGTCACGGAGGAGGAGGACGGTGGGCAGGCTGGAGTTGATGTGCTCGTAGCGGTCCTGCAGGTCGTGGATGTAGGTCAGGAAGAAGGCAGGCCCGTGGGTCCTCTGCATTATAGTCCTCCCTCCGTCCATCCCGTCCATCTCCCCCAGGAACCCTGTGGGAATCACAGTCGACGTTGATCTATATCAATACAAATGATGTCTGTTTACCTGTCCAAGGTTGTAGATCAGACGTCTGTGTCTAGCCTCATCAAACTTCTCACATAGCACGAACACAACTCTCGGAAGGCATCATTGTCCAAGTTGCTGAAGCATAACCTGAGGTTTGTTAGTATGGCACATGCTGCCCTCGTTATTCTGTTGATGTGCGCCTCTGGTTGTGCTGATCTTGAGTCAAGATCACTCCTAAGTCAAGTGGTTGTGCTGCTCTCAGTCTGTCTTACTGACTAACTGATAACGATACCTACTCACCAGATTTGTAGATCATTGTATCATGGAACCTAGAGGTCACTCACCGGCCTCGTCGAGCATTACACCATTGTATAGAGCTCACTCGCCGGCTTCAGAGTAATGTATTGTTGTATAGAGCTCACTCACCTGCCTCATAGAGTATTGTATCGTTGTAGGAAGAGCCTATGAAGAAGCCGGTGGCTCCCTCCAACAGGTAGCGGAGCCAGTTGCTGCCAGAACCCGGCACCGACACCATCAGTGCCGGCGTCAGCCCTCGGCCGAACCTGTGGCATAACAGTGGACGTCAAAAAGGAAATGCTAAACACAGGGAACAAAGTAATTAGATCACTACCACCACCCTGCCTGTCCAGTAACTATATCAAGCAATGAGGCAAGAACCATTGCTAGACTTGGAGAGGGTACCTTTGGTTCTGGTGTAACCATCAGTGGTACACACAATGTCAGTTCATATTACGTTAATATAAATACCCAGTGATCAATAACAAAGTGTTACCAAGGGCAACAAGTAGTAAGTGTTACTCAGTATATATTAGTATCCATCAGACTACTCTCTACTCCCACTTATTCTCTCCTCCTGCTCCTTCCTACCCCTTCCTTAATATCGCCCCTTCTCCTCCTCTTCTCTCCTCATCCTACCTTCCCCTTTCCCGTGTGCCCCACAGACGAGTTCCCCCTCCCCGTCCACGTTTTCTAAACCTTCCTTTTCTTCATCCCTCCATCCCTTATTCCTACCTTCCTTCCTCTATTTTACTTTTCACCACCAAATATAGTCTAGGATACAATAATTTTAGGGTACAACATTTGCAGTATTACAATATAGTAGGTATAGTGAAGGATAGTAGATAGTAAGGTAGAGGTGTTACAATGGTAGCAGCTAGCGTTACAGCAGAAGAGATGCTACAGTGGTGCTAGCGGTGGTCCAATAACTTGTGGACGTGTCTACAGTTTATTGGAGGCTCTCGCATCTGGCTGCTTCAGTTGGCTACGGGGTTGTTTAAGTGTTTGTTTAGGCGGGCTCGCGGTTTTCGTTGCTCGGAGCCACACATATTTTAAGTAGTTGTCACAGTGCGTCATACATAAAACTACAGAGAGTTAAGGGTATGCGCTTCCGCTCTGACAGCTATGGACAGCAAGTGGTCTCGTTCCTCTTCATAGCTTCCAAGAGTGGGAGGTGCATACAGACGCTAGTGGTATCGCCACAGGAGGGTGCTTAATGCAGCGTGATTCGGAGAACCATTCTCACCCTGTGGCGTATTTCAGTAGGAAAGTGAAGGGACCTGAGGTTAGATACTCAGCAAAAGACAAGGAAGCGCTTGCTGTGGTTGAAAGTGTTCGTTATTTTGAGCCCTACCTATTCCAGCGTCATTTTGTTATTTTCACAGATCACAGAGCTCTCACATATATATTTAAAAAGAAAACAAAGTGACCCCGGATGTCCCGATGGTCTCACTAACTGTCAGCTCTTTTCAGATCTTTTATAAGCGTGGACCGTCTCATGTGGTCCCGGACACGTTGAGTAGGAACATCGTGTCAGTTACCGTAAATGTCAACATTGAAACTATTGCCAGTGATAAAATGAGAGAATTTCAAATGAGAGAACAGCGATGGAAGGAGATAACTGAATATTTGGAGGATGGTAAATACCCTAAGAGAAAAGGTAACTTCCCCTGGAGGATTTTGACCTTCAAAAAGGGAGTCCTGTATTACGTTAACGACATGAAAGATCGTGCAGTTTACCAGTTAGTGCGTAGTAAGTGCCTCTTCATACACAGTAAGGAGAAAAAAGGGAGGGCTTAATGCTGCTATGTTGTATTAATGCTGTTTATACAATTGGCTCACACACACACACCAGCTAAGAGACCAACACACTTACGAAAGGGGAGGAGCCCCCACCTCTCTCTGCCTGACTGGTCACCTGTCGGCACAACACACGCAGCGCGCTCGGCTTCACAGACACTCACCTGAGGAGGAGGCGGGGCTTAACAGCTTCTACTCCACTTCTCTTCCACTATCCACTCTCATTGGCTCTCTGAATCTCCAAAAGGGCAGAGCTTAACTCACTCAACCCCCCCCCCCCCCCGTCACACGCCAACGACCTCCCGGTAATTATTCACCTGGGCAGCTGGTGCAACCTCTTTGCACTATCTGTTCCAGGAGGAACGCGAGGTCGTTGGCGTAAATCTCCCTACTTTGGACCACAACATACAGTGAACGTCTGGTTAATGCCACCATCTATGCCTCGGACCACAACATACAGTGAACGTCTGGTTAATGCTACCATCTATGCCTCGGACCACAACATACAGTGAACGTCTGGTTAATGCCACCATCTATGCCTCGGACCACAACATACAGTGAACGTCTGGTTAATGCCACCATCTATGCTTCGGACCACAACATACAGTGAACGTCTGGTTAATGCCACCATCTATGCCTCGGACCACAACATACAGTGAACGTCTGGTTAATGCCACCATCTATGCCTCGGACCACAACATATAGTGAACGTCTGGTTAATGCTACCATCTATGCCTCGGACCACAACATACAGTGAACGTCTGGTTAATGCCACCATCCATGCTTCAGACCACAACATACAGTGAACGTCTGGTTAATGCTACCATCCATGCCTCGGATCACAACACAACAGCAAGATATAAGAGACATTACTGATGAAGCTGAGAAAGTAAATGAAACAGGCTCAGAGCCAAAAACAATGTTTTACAGCTAAAAGAACAGTTACAAAGCATTGTTGATCAGCTTAAACAAATGACATCGATGGTTTTGCAATTGGTAATTGTAACTTCATTATGAATTAAGATGAAGATGTATGGTAAGAGTAGAGGTGAGACATTACCTGGTCTGGTAGATGGCGCAGCCATTGTCTTTGTCCTTCTCCCATGGTCGCCTCCATGCCTTCGTCAGGTCCACCTCCAGGACGTCTCCTGTATATATAACATTCTGTATTTATTATATATATAAATTCGCCAAGGTGCATAATGCTTCTAGCTGTCTGAGTTCGAATCCTTCTCGGGTGTGGAGTTTTCGGTTGCATATTGGCTTGTGAACCATTCAAGCTTGTTTGCATATCTATATAAAAAAAATTAAATGTTCGTTTGTTCAAAATTGTTAATCTCCAAAAGTTCTTCACTGATTGCTTTGAAATTTTGACACAATGTTCCATTCGAATATGCACGTGTTTTTATATACCTACTATATAAATGCTACACCTGTGACAGGTAAAAACACGTTTTTTTTAAAACAGCACCATATGTTGCACGTAACAGCAACACATGCTGTAAACTCTGAAAGTTCTTCACCGATTGCTTTGAAATTTTGTGACTATTGTTAATTTTCTTACGGATAGTTTCCACTCTACGCAAATATCTTCTACCATCTGGAGGGCGAAGAAACACTAGATCACTTAATCTTTCAATTTTTATTGTTCGTTGTTTCGTCAACAATGTGACACTTGAGGAGTACACTGATACACTCTCACAGCTATACTCAGCTTACAAGATTAGTGATTGATTGATGAAGATTAAGCATCCCAAGAGCTCGCACAGGCATGAGTAGCCCGTAAATAGAGATTGATTGATGAAGATTAAGTCACCCAAGAGGTGGCACGGGCATGAATAGCCCGTAAATGGAGAAATCTAGACATTTATAAGCATTGGAACACTTAACTCCACGATTCACTTAGCTCCCTTAAACGTAGGGAGCGGCGAAGGTTAGGGTGAGGTGATTGTTGCCTGACTCTGGCTTCTGGTTGTCCGCCAGGTCTTACATCTTCCCTCTGGGTCAATGGAGGACCACCGAACAGCTGTATGTTCTCAGTCGAATTCATCTGGATGTTGAATCACCAAGACAGAGTGAAGGACACGAGAATAATCACACACACCGACGACCGTAGGAGGCTTCGTATACTGGAGGCTGTGGTCATTCAGGAGCTGACACCTGTGATCAACATCCAGATGAATTCGACCTCGAACATACAGCTCTTCAATATCCTCCTCCCCCCCCCCCCCCCCCCCCGCACACACACAGAGCGAGAGCGAGAGCGAGAGAGAGAGAGAGAGAGAGAGAGAGAGAGAGAGAGAGAGAGAGAGAGAGAGAGAGAGAGAGAGAGAGAGAGAGAGAGAGAGAGAGAGAGAGAGAGAGAGGTCTCACCAGGGATGTGCTGGGGGTCAGAGAGAGAGAGAGAGAGAGAGAGAGAGGGGGGGGGAGGGGGGGTCAGTACTCACCAGTGTTGAGAGAGAGAGAGCTACTCTGGGGGGGGGGAGGGGGGGTCAGTACTCACCAGTGTTGTGCTGGGGGTCAGTACTCACCAGGGAGTCTCTCAACGCTGCCGTGAAGTCTCCCCAACAAGGCCGTCGCCTCTCTCATTCTCCCGCGACACTGTTCTGCTGAGAAGCAAATTGCAGTTAGCAAGGCCGGCGGGCACTCCCGTCTGTGTTAAACTGATTATTTAAGCTCTTAGTGTCATCTTGTTGGTGAAACTGGCGACCCAACTCATTTACTGCTTGCATATGAAGGCTAGGTAAGCGAAGCTATATACTAACTTACAGGAATGAAACAAAATCCTATAGATTTCCCAATTGCTAAAGTCCTGTGTTGTGGGCACTAGTATGCGTTTGTTTAGGTAGAATACTGGCAGTGTGGGAGGCTGAGAATGGTTCAACACCTGTGATGATTCAACACCTGTGATGATTCAACACCTGTGATGATTCAACAACTGTGATGGGTTCATTACGTTCTCAACTCGAGTCCATTACATCCCAGCCCATCCTCCAAACAAAGACCCAAAAGTGATTCCATGCACCCACCAAACCCCCCCCCCTGTTTATGAATAGAAAAAAAGGTTTACACACGACTCACAACTGATTTCGTTCGAACACTTCCGGAACAAGTGCTTCATTGATGAATTTTGTTCGAACCACAACGCTGTGAATGCTTCACCCACGTACTACTAACACAAATAATCGCCAACAGAACTGAAACACCTAACCTAAACTATGCCTATTTATGCACAATATGCTAATATATTAGAATATAAATTTTTATTTGAGAAAATTCCCGTTTTGAATGAACATGCAAAAAGTTATGAATGCGTCTGTGGGGTCGACCGCTGGATGGAATGACTCGAGTCTAGGACGGGTTGGCTTCAGTGCAGCACGTCATATGATAACTTTGTACAAAACAATACTTTCAAATGGATTGTTTTCGTAATATTTACACGGTCTTGTATCAATGTATATAATTATGTTTGTTACTAATGGAAAATAAACAATAATCTGGTCTTATTCCTTTAGATAGTAATGCACAAGGAAAAAAAAAGCACCATAGTACAAATTGTGAACTTGCCATTGATGCCTAAATGTAACAAGTAAACAATATATGTGATCTCATAAATCTGTGGGGGGGGGGGGAGTTATAGTGAGCATAATCAACTTACCTGGTAGTGAACGGTGACTGTGGGGAGACTCGTGACCGCATCTGCAATACAAGCCAAGTTCTTCAGGGTATTAATAAGACATCTTTAGAAGGATGGGTTTACTATTCAGTGGTGTGGATATACAGGCAGGAATGAGGTGAGAAATAATGTCTTTAACATGACAAGCTGATATTAATAAGGTATTATTATTTACTAAGGGAACCACATTCAAAGAGACGACTGTGATCTATGCCCTTACATGCCCTGGAGACCCTTATAGACAAGATTTAATAAGTTGAATAATAAATACAAATCTCTCTTGCCATATCATGGCTTAACCAAACATGACCTGAGCACGTTACCTTTCGAAGATGTCATCCATCGCCTCTCTGGGAAGGGTTTTATTTCTTGGAGAATAATCAAAGACGTCTACAGTTACTCTCCTTTACCTGTGCTTATCTTCCCGTTTACCTGTGATTTCTTGCAACTGGGATTAAAGTTAGTTTTATGCTCATTTGACATAAAAGTGTATCATGAATTTAATGCTGCCCGGTGTTCTCGAGGTTTGTTGATACAACTATATGTCTGCAGATAACACTTACAGGAAGAAGGAGCAGAGAACGACAAGCAGCAGGAGCAGGGGCAGCAGCAGAGGCAGCAGGAGTCTCCTCGCCGCTAGCATCCACCTCCGTCCCATGATACACCACACACCTGAAACCAAATACCACTTGCACACCTGTAATCATATGCGACGTTAAACCTGCAACCAAGTGTCACTTGCAAAGGTTTCATTCAAGGGAATAACTCCGCGTTGCTCTGGTAAAACATGGCGGCCACAGCTACACTACACACGACCACCATCACTGTAACCATCTACACTACATCACCACACACATATAACACATACATCACCATTCACACATAATACATACATCACTACACACACACACACACACACACACACACACACACACTCACTCACACACACACACCAGACAAAGTTAGAGAAGATTCAGAGGTATGCCACCAGGCTCGTCCCGGAACTGAGAGGAATGAACTACGAGGAAAGGCTAAAAGAGCTGAACCTCACGTCCCTGGAAAGCAGAAGAGTAAGGGGAGACATGATAACCACCTACAAAATTCTCAAGGGAATTGACAGGGTGGACAAAGACAAACTCTTCAGCACGGGTAGAACACGAACAAGGGGACACAGGTGGAAACTTTGTACCCAGATAAGCCACAGAGACGTTAGAAAGATTTTTTTAAATATCAGAGTAGTTAACAAATGGAATGCATTAGGCATGTGGTGGAGGCTGACTCCATACACAGTTTCCAATGTAAATATGATAGAGCCCAATAGGCTCAGGAATCTGTACACCAGTTGATTGACGGTTGAGACGCGGGACCAAAGAGCCAGAGCTCAACCCCCGCAAGCACAATTAGGTGAGTAAACATAACACATACATCACCACACATACATCACACACATATACATCACCACACATACATCACCACACTCATTACCACACATTACAGAGAGCCTGGTGGCTGAGTGGACAGCACTCAGTATTCATAATTCTAGGGACCGGGGTTCGATCCCCGGCGATGTCGGAAAACAAATGGGCATAGTTTCTTTCACCCAGATGCCCCCTGTTTCCTAGCAGTAAATAGGAACCTGGGAGTTAGACAGCAGTTACGGGCTGCTTCCTGGGTGTTTGTGTGTGTGTGTGTTCACCTAGTTGTGTATGCAGGAGGGGGGGGGGGGGGTTGAGCATTGCTTTTTCGGCCCGCCTCTCAACTGTCAATCAACTGTTTACTAACTACTATTTTTTCCCCACACCACACACACACACACACACACACACGTCCCAGGAAGCAGCCCGTGACAGTTGACTAACTCCCAGGTACGTATTTACTGCTAGGTAACAGGGGCATTCAGGGTGACAGAAACTTTGCCTATTTGTTTCTGCCTGGTGCGGGAATCGAACCCGCGCCACAGAATTACGAGGCGGTATCCACCAGGCTACCCAGTTGACTAACCAACAACTGTGTGTGTGTGTGATTAATATATGTAGTAGACATATTAAAAGAAAAATAGGTTGGTTAGAATAGCGGGGTCCAAGAGATCCATTCTGCAGACATAAGTAATAAATACACAACTTACCGTACATGTTGAGTGACAGGAGCGCCGCCTTGACGGGAGTCTTGGTACTGACTGTCTATCGCAAAGACGGTAACGGACAGGCTGTCTTGGAATTTGTGAGGCCTTTAATTCAGTACTGAAGAACACATTGTGTTAGACTTTGTATTGGAGGTGTCGTCGACTCCCTGGACTGTGGGTGTCGTCGACTCTTTAAACCGTGGGCGTCGTCGACTCCCTAGACAGTGGGCGTCGTCGACTCCCTACACCGTGGGCGTCGTCGACTGTCTAGAGCACAGGTGGTGTTGGGTGTCGTGTGTGTGCGTACTTACCGATGGCTGTACCTGCCTCTAGCAGGATCAAATCAGCGCGTCATGGTCTAATCACAGTTCGAAATTCGAGGATTCTTTCCTGTCTCGCATAAAGAACTATGCCAATTACGTCTGCTTCTCTCCAACCTGTAGTTACAAACTCCCCGAGCACCACAACCCCAGAACCACAACACACCAGGGACCCCAGCACCACTACACAGCACACCAGGGAACCCCAGCACCACAACAACACACCAGGACCCCCAGCACCACAACATAGCACACCAGGGACCCCAGCACCACAACACAGCACACCAGGGACCCCAGCACCACAACACAACACACCAGGGACCCCCAGCACCACAACACAGCACACCAGGGACCCCAGCACCACGACACAACACACCAGGGACCCCCAGCATCACAACACAACACACCAGGGAACAACAGCACCACAACACAGCACACCAGGGAACCCCAACACCACAACACAACACACCAAGGACCCCCAGCACCACAACACAGCACACCTGGGACCCCCACCACTACAACACAGCACACCAGGGACCCCAGCACCACAACACAACACACCAAGAACCCTAGCACCACAACACAGCACACCAGGAACCCCAGCACCACAACACAACACACCAGGGAACCCCAGCATCACAACACAGCACACCAGAGAACCCGACTACCACAATAAAGCACACCAGGGAACCACAACACAGCACACCAGGGAACCCCAACACCACAACACAGCACACCAGGGAACAACAGCACCACAACACAGCACACCAGGGAAACCGAGGACGCCACTGGTGACTTCACGCTAATCTGAGGTCTCACCCCTCACTGTAACTCTCTGCTTCCTATTGCTTAGGTACTCCCTTATCCACTGGAGCGCCCTACCAGTTACTCCTGCCTGTTTCTCCAGCTTATGCATCAGCCTTTTATGGGGTACTGTGTCAAAGGCTTTCCGACAATCCAAAAAAATGCAGTCTGCCCAGCCTTCTCTTTCTTGCTTAATCTTTGTCACCTGATCGTAGAATTCTATTAAGCCTGTAAGGCAAGATTTACCCTCCCTGAACCCATGTTGATGGGTAGTCACGAAGTCCCTTCTCTCCAGAGGTGTTACTAGGTTTTTTCTCACGATCTTCTCCCTAACCTTGCATGGTATACAAGTTAAGGACACTGGCCTGTTGTTTAGTGCCTCTTGCCTGTCACCCTTTTTGTATATTGGGACTACATTAGCAGTCTTCCATATTTCTGGTAGTTCTCCCGTTTCCAGTGATCTACTATATACTATGGAGAGTGGCAAACAGAGCACTCCTGCACAATCTTTCAATACCCATAGTGAGATTCTGTCCGGGCCAACAGCCTTTCTCACGTCAGATCCAATAGATGCCTCTTGACCTCATCTCTAGTAATTTCGAACCCTTCCAAGGCCGCCTGGTTTACTGCCACCTCCCCAAGCACAGTGACCTCTCCTCGTTCTGTTGTGAAGGCCTCCTGGAACCTCTTGTTGAGTTCCTCACACACCTCTTTACCATTCTCTGTGTACCTATCCTCACCCGTTCTAAGTTTCGTCACCTGTTACTTCACTGTTGTTTTCCTCCTGATATGACTGTGTAGTAGCTTTGTGTGTAATTAATATATGTAGTAGACATAATAATAAAAAAAATAAGTTGGTTAGAATGGCGGGGTCCAAGAGATCCATTCTGGGGGTCCATTCTGCAGACACAAGTAATAAATACACAACTTACCGTACATGTTGAGTGACAGGAGCGCCGCCTTGACGGGAGTCTTGGTACTGACTGTCTATCGCAAAGACGGTAACGGACAGACTGTCTTGTAATTTGTGAGGCCTCTAATTCAGTACTGAAGAACAGATTGTGTTAGACTGTGTATTGGAGGTGTCGTCGACTCCCTGAACCGTGGGTGTCGTCGACTCCCTAAACCGTGGGTGTCGTCGACTCCCTAAACCGTGGGTGTCGTCGACTCCCTGAACCGTGGGTGTCGTCGACTCCCTACACAGTGGGTGTCGTCGACTCCCTGAACCGTGGGTGTCGTCGACTCTTTAGACCGTGGGTGTCGTCGACTCCCTGAACCGTGGGTGTCGTCGACTCCCTAAACCGTGGGTGTCGTCGACTCCCTACACCGTGGGTGTCGTCGACTCCCTACACCGTGGGTGTCGTCGACTCCCTACACCGTGGGTGACGTCGACTCCCTACACCGTGGGTGTCGTCAACTCCCTACACCGTGGGTGTCGTCGACTCCCTACACCGTGGGTGTCGTCAACTCCCTACACCGTGGGTGTCGTCGACTCCCTACACCGTGGGTGCCGTCGACTCTCTGAACCGTGGGTGTCGTCGACTCCCTGAACCGTGGGTGTCGTCGACTCCCTGAACCGTGGGTGTCGTCGACTCTTTAGTCCGTGGGTGTCGTCGACTCTTTAGACCGTGGGTGTCGTCGACTTTCTGGACCGTGAGTGTCGTCGACTCTTTAGACCGTGGGTGTCGTCGACTCCCTGAACCGTGGGTGTCGTCGACTCTTTAGACCGTGGGTGTCGTCGACTCCCTACACCGTGGGCGTCGTCGACTCTTTAGACCGTGGGTGTCGCGTCGACTCTCTAGAGTGCAGGTGGATGTCGTCGACTCTCCAGACCGCAGGTGGAGTGGGTGTCGTCGACTTCCTAGACCGCAGGTGGAGTGGGTGTCGTCGACTCTCCGGACCGAAGGTGGAGTGTGAGTACACTCTCGGGACTGTACTTGGCTCAAGCCGGGGAACTCAGCGCGTCATGGTCTAATATAGAAACAGCTCGCTATTCGAGGTTTCTTTCCTCCCTTGCTTAATGAAATATGCCATTTACATCGGCTTCTTTCCCCCTCCTGGGGTTTCAAGGTCCACGAGCACCACAGCACACCAGGGAAACCAGCAACACAACACAGGACACCAGGGACCCATAGTTACGACCACACATACCAGTGTAAATATATGGGGAAAGTGTATGTTGCGTCAAACTAATTAGTCACATTACTTGCTTAGCTTACTCGTGTATTAGTAACCTTTTGTGAAATAGCAGAAGCTTATGGCTGTTCGTACACCTATATACTTGAGGTATGCGAACATATGGTACTTTAAACCGTAAACGATCGATCGACCGGTAATTGCTGGAACTCCTCCCATATCCCCCCTTCCTCACCCCTTACTCTTGGTGAATCGTGTCCAGTTGGTATTGCTAGATGTACATAGAAATGACTCCTTTATGTGTTTAACACATATTGTTATATATCCTTATGTATCTTGAGGTTGTGAAGGAGGAGGAAGGTTGGAGTGACTTGCCCTGTTGGCAGCAAAGTCGTTCTTGGCCGTCATGATCGTTGGCAAGCCGCTGCTCCCCAGGGGCCAGATTCATGAAAGCACTTACGCAAGCACTTACGAACGTGTACATCTTTCCCCAATCTTTGACGGCTTTGGTTACATTTATTAAACAGTTTACAAGCATGAAAACTTCCCATTCGACTGTTGTTATTGTTATAAACACCCTCCTGGTGCTTCGGAGCTCATAAACTGTTTAATAATTGGAAACAAAGCCGCCAAAGATTGATAAAAGATATACAGGTTCGTAAGTGTTTGCGTAACTGCTTTCGTGAATCTGACCCCTGGTTTCCCAGAGAGACGTCCAGTCCTCGGGTTGTCCAGTATATTGTTGTTATTACTAAATAACAACAATATATGGTTGTTATTTATTACTAAATAACAATATACAGTGTTCATATTATAAAGAGTAATGCTGTTGTAAATGGATCAGGCTAAACAGATGTATTAGCAAGTACAGTGGTAGGTGATGTAGGGGGAACTGAGGATCATAGATTATTGTGTTGAAGAACGTGACAGATTCCTCACCCACTGTTTAAGTATCACACCTCCAAACTGTTACTTGAGTCAGTTTACAATTGTGCCAGGTGGCAGCCTGGTGGCAGCCAGGTGGCAGCCTGGTGGCAGCCAGGTGGCAGCCTGGTGGCAGCCAGGTGGCAGCCTGGTGGCAGCCAGGTGGCAGCCTGGTGGCAGCCAGGTGGCAGCCTGGTGGCAGCCAGGTGGCAGCCTGGTGGCAGCCAGGTTGCAGCCAGGAAGCAGCCAGGTGGCAGCCAGGTGGCAGCCAGGTGGCAGCCTGGTGGCAGCCTGGTGGCAGCCTGGTGGCAGCCTGGTGGCAGCCAGGTGGCAGCCTGGTGGCAGCCAGGTGGCAGCCAGGTGGCAGCCTGGTGGCAGCCTGGTGGCAGCCAGGTGGCAGCCTGGTGGCAGCCTGGTGGCAGCCAGGTGGCAGCCTGGTGGCAGCCAGGTTGCAGCCAGGAAGCAGCCAGGTGGCAGCCAGGTGGCAGCCAGGTGGCAGCCTAGTGGCAGCCTGGTGGCAGCCTGGTGGCAGCCTGGTGGCAGCCTGGTGGCAGCCAGGTGGCAGCCAGGTGGCAGCCTGGTGGCAGCTTGGTGGCAGCCAGGTGGCAGCCTGGTGGCAGCCTGGTGGCAGCCAGGTGGCAGCCTGGTGGCAGCCTGGTGGCAGCCTGGTGGCAGCCTGGTGGCAGCCAGGTGGCAGCCAGGTGGCAGCTAGTCCTAGGTATTAGCCGTTACTGATTTAATAGCTGATGGGATAGATGTGTTCAAGTTCTTGAAGTTCATTGATGTGACTATTTGAACTGTGTATTGAAGCTCTTTGCTCTGATGAACGTCTCAGTTGTATATTAGTGTACATCAGTTGTATATGGAGAATGTTAGTCCTCAGTGTTTTACGGTGACCTGTTTACATGTCCCAGTAAACTGGCGTTGTTTTAACCAGCCTTTTAAACTTACCACTAGACACTTATTGAAACGTGGCCAGGCTTTGGTCGGCCAGCGATGCTGTGGATCATGAGGACCTGACACCCCCCCACCCCCCCAGCACCACACCACATCACACCAGGGACCCCAGCACACCAGGGGAAAATGCACCACAACACAGCATACCAGGGAACCCCAGCACCACAACACAGCACACCAGGGAACCCCAGCACCACAACACAGCACACCAGGGAACCCCAGCACCACAATACAGCACACCAGGGAACCCCAGCACCACAATACAGCACACCAGGGAACCCCAGCACCACACCACAGCACACCAGGGAACCTCAGCACCACAACACAGCACACCAGGTAACCCCAGCATCACTACACAGCACACCAGGGGACCCCAGCACCACAACACAGCACACCAGGTAACCCCAGCACCACAACACAGCACACCAGGTAACCCCAGCACCACAACACAACACACCAGGGAACCCCAGCACCACAACACAACACACCAGGGAACCCCAGCACCACAACACAGGGCACAAATGCTGGGGAGAAAGCAGGGTGGGTGTCACCACAGTTGATGCAGAGAGTTTGGGATGAAGAACACTTCGTCTTAGAATGACCCGAGGTTCCACACAAGGGGCATAGACACCCCTCACTTGTGCACCTGAAGGGACCATGCCCAAATCTCCAGCACCTGCTGCAGAGGCACATTCCGGCATATATATATATTTTATATTATATATATATATATATATTATATATATATATGTATAAATATATATATATATATATATATATATATATATATATATATATATATATATATATATATATATATATATATATATATATATGTCGTACCTAGTAGCCAGAACGCACTTCTCAGCCTACTATGCAAGGCCCGATTTGCCTAATAAGCCAAGTTTTCATGAATTAATATATTTTCTCTATTTTTTTCTTATGAAATGATAAAGCTATCCATTCCATTCTGTATGAGGTCAATTTTTTTATTGGAGTTAAAATTAACGTAGATATAGGACCGAACCTAACCAACCCTACCTAACCTAACCTAGCCTATCTTTATAGGTTAGGTTAGGTTAGGTAGCCGAAAAAGTTAGGTTAGGTTAGGTTAGGTAGGTTAGGTAGTCGAAAAACAATTAATTCATGAAAACTTGGCTTATTAGGCAAATCGGGCCTTGCATAGTAGGCTGAGAAGTGAGTTCTGGCTACTAGGTACGACATATATATATATATATATATATATATATATATATATATATATATATATATATATATATATATATATAATGTTGAATATGCTCGAAAGGGTAAGATTAATGATTCTAACACGAATCTTCTCAATATGTCTTAGGTTTTTCTTCAATGTCGAGGGTAATTGAAAAATTAACTCTCCAAAGTTCATTTTAACATTTTATTGATGGTCTGACGCCTAGAAGCGTTTCGCAAGAGACTTCTTACATTTTCAAAGACAAATTTTACGTACTCCATTTCACGCTTATATTTGATTTTGGGTGAGGTGACAGAATACAAATCAATGGGTAAAACAATTAGCAAAGATAATTTTACATAGTCAAAACATGAATCAATAGGTACATTGCGTGTTCTCTGTTCTTGCTCCTGAGTTGTTTAGGGGTCTTGAAGTGGGTAGAATGTAATTATGTATTAATTGGCTGTCGATTGCTGGTGTTGACTTTTTAATGTGTAGTGCCTCGCTGATGTCGAGTCTCCTGCTGTCACTGTATCTACTGTATCTATCGATAATTTCTGTGTTGCTTGTTAAGATTTCTCTGGTGATGGTCTGGTTGTGTGAGATTATAATGCTCCTTGATGGAGCCCTGTTGCTTGTGCATTGTTAATCGCCTAGAAAGAGACGTTGTTGCCCTGTCCTGCCTATATACTGAGATCTTTGAGGCTGACAGTCCCCAAGTGAGTATGTGAAGTCATAGCCGACGTTGGTGTCTTTCGAGGCGTTCTGATTGGTGTCTGGAGTTCATGAGTAGGTTGGTCGCCTACTCATGGAGAGAGATGACAATGACATGAAGAAAGAGATGCTGAAGATTGTTCTGAGTTCTATTAGAACTGCTTTATATCATGTACTTTGTATGCAATTATTGTGTTAGGAGCATTTTATTGATTAACTGAACCTTCTGAAAAAACAGTACTTGCACTTCAAGTAGTCATATTTTTCCCCTTGGTGGGGAGGAATCCTCCATTTCTCCCCACTTCAATTAATGTGGGGAGTAAATTAGTAAATAATAGACAGCTAGAAGGTTACATCATATATTTTATGACAATGTAATGATTGGTGGTGGTTGCACGAGTGTCAGAGTAGAACAGTTGCAGTATGATCATTTGGTCTCTTCTGGAGCAGCATAAGAACGTAGATTTAATTTGTAGCTGAACTAGTTTAGGAAGGATGTAGATTGTTGAGTGTTGGGATATTACCTGAGAAGTCCTCTTGTCTTATTATGTACCGGCCACCTTTCTCAGTTAATTAATGTGTTATTAGTGTACAACTTTATCCCTTCTCTACATTTGCTATGTTTTGTAAGAGTAGAGTTTAAGGGACACTTGTACCTCCTTAAAACATGTAGGCCTACCTAGAGTATTTTGTTTGAGAACCTCTACTTCTGTCAAATGGGAATTATGTTCATAATGTAAATGTAAAGTGTAAGGGGCTTTGTCATGAAGAGGGAAGGAGTTTTATGTCGTTAAAGAAGTAATAAATACACATACATTTCTTTGTGCCCAATGTGGGGGGGGGGGGGGGGATTTATTCATATCCTTTAACAGATAAATTTTTGGGAGCAACTTCCCTGGGGGCCGGGCCTTGACCCACCATACCTGGTGGGCTTGCTAGATAGTAAGTTTTAAGTTAATAAGGCAGCCCAGGAGCATAGCAGCAGTAAACTAAACTTGATTAAACCCCAACAAATCTCACAGCTCTGTAACAGTCACTGGCCTGGAGCTGTGGGTAGCCTAGCATGGGTGATGTCACTGGCCTGGAGCTGTGGGTAGCCTAGCATGGGTGATGTCACTGGCCTGGAGCTGTGGGTAGCCTAGCATGGGTGATGTCATTGGCCTGGAGCTGTGGGTAGCTTAGCATGGGTGGTGTAGTCATTGGTCTGGAGCTGCGGGTAGCCCAGCACCAGCAGGAGGCGATTGATCCTTCTGACGACGTTTGCAAACATTTTCTTCTCGTCTTCAGTGAAGGGGTCGATGGTCCTGGTGGTGGTGGTCCTCTTGAGGGACCCGTCTATGTGCTTGGAGAGACAGAATAGTCTTCCCTCGTCCACAGGAATCCTGTGGGAGGGAGGGAGGGAGGCAGAGGTGGCACATTTAGCTAGGAGTTACAGGCTGTGGTCCTCCACTCAATGATCTCCACAATTCTCACTCCTGAGCGCTTGGTTAAATCTGCGATACCCCAAGGTGTATTGTATGATTCCATCTGTGTGCCTGTGTATATATTTACCATCTTACAAGTTTCATTGTAGTAGTAATTCATAGACCACAGTTGTACAGTATCTCTCCCTGTCTCAACCTATCACTCCTCCTGCCCCGAGAGACTTAATCCACACAAACTTTCCCGAATTTCCCATCAGTAGTTGTACCCAAAATCTCCGGCTCTCTGACACATCTTAGCCAATCCTGGAGACATAAATTTTTAGGCCTTCAGAATCCAGCCAACCACGTGTGAACTAAGGAGCTGACTCTCCACTGACTTGGGTGTGGTTCCATTCTAGCTATTCTATTCTAAGAAATCCACAAGTGGATTTCTTCAAACTAGGCGAGGAATCCTCGTGTTCTCAGAGTTGAGTTATAACTAAATTTCACCCCCTCCCTTCCTCTGTTTGTCCCTGATAACCACCTAAACAATAAGTCACTGCTCCTAGTTCCCACGGCGTCTATGCCTCCTGGATCCTATCACTTATCAGGTGAGTATTACTCGACACTTCTAGTGCTGGCATGTTTGTCAAAGATAATGGTTCTCAACCACACTTGTCCTCCAGGGTTCCCTCAGACCCCCACCTGTTTGACGCCTATGATCATCCCCGGACTAACACCAAGAACCCTGCAAGGTTTGGTGAGGGAAGCCCCAACCATCTCACCTTCAACCCCGAACAGACATTATCTTTAATATAGAAAATTAAACAATTGGAAACAAAAGCAAGGTGATTACTGAAATGAATCAAATAATTAACTGAGAGTTGTGAAGGTTGTGGAAGAGTGTGTGTGAGGTTACCTGAGGAAGCGCAGCAGAAGGCGGAGGTGGTAGATGGGGTGACGTAACAGGTCATCGTAGTGGATGACGTAGAGCGGACCAGAGCACCACAAGAGCCGGTCTGCTGCCAACTCTTCCCACAGTGACGTCACCTCACTCACGAAGTCATGGAAGTCTATCGAGAGACAAACCTGGAGTCATACCCAGAGCGTCTGCCCCTCAGTAACGTCACAAAACACCAGCCAGAGAACTGGGTAATATACTTCACTAATCCTCAATGTAAAAAGGTAAATTGTACCAATGAAGAGCGAAGCTCACTAACCTTTACCCTGGAACCTGGCCGCCGGTATCTCGTCCAGGTGCTTGTTGCTGCCTTCCAGGTTGAAGAGCTTCCAGTAGGAGATGATGGTCCTGCAGTGGAGACTGTTGTTCTATGCACAGTTTTGAATTCTTTCTACCATTATTTGTATATTTTTTTGTTTACTGGGATCATGGATTAATAAGTCATGAACTCCTTATCGACTGTGGGAGGGTCACTAAGGCCACCACAGATGCTAACTGACCCACAAGAAAGAATGGTACACTACGGTACACTACGGATATATACCAAGCAACTGGGCATATATATATTATTTTATATTATAATATATATATATATTGTCAACCACTCTACCGTGGAAATAAACATCATTCACCTAGGCACTAGGAGATTAGAACCGCCAACACCGCCAGGCGCTTCTAGTCAATAGTACTTCTGCCTCTCGCTGGTGGGGTCGGCAGTTCGAGTCCCCTAGAGCCCAGGTGAATGAAATATATATCACAGATATGTAATCAATTTTGGTTTAGTGTTAGGCTTACCGCCAATCAGCCTATGGAAGGCTAAGGCAAGAAAAAGAGCTTCCCGACCATCCAGCAAGAATAGTCTTAACTATGTGAAATAAACTCTCAGTGTATATGCACCGAGTAGTAGTATACACCTCTCTGTGTATACACATACCCAGTGTATAATTAAGGCTTACAAACGATGTACATAAATACTGACAGTGTTCATGGAGGTTGCAGGCGATGAGTCACAATAACGTGGCTAAAGTATGTTGACCAGACCACACACTAGAAGGTGAAGGGACGACGACGTTTCGGTCCGTCCTGGACCATTCTCAAGTCGATAGAGAATGGTCCAGGACGGACCGAAACGTCGTCGTCCCTTCACCTTCTAGTGTGTGATCTGGTCTTCATGGAGGTTCTAAAGATGAGCGCAAGAGATTCATAACTGACAGTAATTTTCTTTTAGGATTAAAAGCAGATTCTGAGATTGAGAGCATAGGAATAATTTTATCCTCGCCCCGAGTATATATGCCTAGAAAACTAATAAGCAAGTGTCTTGACAAAAGAAATAGATGGTGGTATTGACCTGGCAGGGTCTCGGAGGAGGAGGACGGTGGGCAGGCTGGAGTTGATATGCTCGTGGCGGTCCTGCAGGTCGTGGATGTAGGTTGGGTAGAAGGCAGGCCCGTGGGTCCTCTGCATTATAGTCCGCCCTCCGTCCATCCCGTCCATCTCCCCCAGGAACCCTGTGGGAGTCACAGTCGACGCTGAGATGATCCATCGTACTCAGTTCTTCAGCGTTAACACACATGCACCCACTGGCTTGGAGTGTTGGGTAGTGTTTATTATACTACGTTTAGAGAAAGCATAAATGATTATCCTTATACATGATTACGCACCGGGGGACTGCAAACTGTGCCCTATAGTTACTTATTATTGTACTAGTGTAGCTAGAGCTCACTCACCTGCCTCGTAGAGTATTGGATCGTTGTATAGAGGTCACTCACCTGCCTCATAGAGTATTGTATCGTTGTAGGAAGAGCCTATGAAGAAGCCGGTGGCTCCCTCCAACAGGTAGCGGAGCCAGTTGCTGCCAGAACACGGCGCCGACACCAGCAGCGCCGGCGTCAGCCCTCGGCCGAACCTGTGGCACAACAGTGGACGTCTGGTTAGTACCACCATCCACGCCCCGAACCACAACACAGTGTTAGTCTGGTTACCCTCGTGAAATTATTTTGTCATTACATCACAACATACAATGAAATGTAAATTATTAAAAAAATTGATGACCAGTGGACACGTTGGAAAAGAAAGAATCGACGATGGTTCGGTCCATCCTCGACCATTATCAAGTCTTGTCATAGTCAATATATAAATAAATTTTTGGGTTTGGTAAAGGTGAAGAAATTCAAGGAACGCTGTAGCTTGCAGTAAATAAAGACAATGTTTGAACCAAGTCTTAGGCTGTCAAGTAGAAAGAAGCCTAAACAGTGCTATTAGCGAGACCTCTCAGACAAATTAGACGAGTGGAAACTGAAGCCAGCAAATCCTTGCCTGTCACCTTTGAAACTTAAATAAAACATTTGTGTTGGACATTTAAGAGAATGCAGGCGATGAGTCACAATAACGTGGCTAAATTAATTCTCAATCGACTTGAGAATGGTCCAGGACGGACCGAAACGTCGTCGTCCCTTCACCTTCTAGTGTGTGGTCTGGTCAACATTTAAGAGAATTCTGATAAAGTTGTAACAACTTGAACGCGACTTAGGTTATGAGTATCTCTCTCTGGTGGTTCAGCTTGATAGAAGAATTAAATCCCATGTAAAGTGTGTGGACAAAGACGGACACACAATAGAAGAGAAGACAGAAGAGTTAGGGGGGACATGATCACCACATTCAAGATTCTCAAGGGAATCGACAGGGTTGATAAAGACAGGCTATTTAACACAAGGGGAACACGCACTAGGGAACACAGGTGGAAACTGAGTGCCCAAATGAGCCACAGAGATATTAGAAAGAACTTTTTTTAGTGTCAGAGTGGTTGACAAATGGAATGCATTAGGAAGCAATGTGGTGGAGGCTGACTCCATACACAGTTTCAAGTGTAGATATGATAGAGCCCAATAGGCTCAGGAATCTGTACACCTGTTGATTGACGGTTGAGAGGCGGGACCAAAGAGCCAGAGCTCAACCCCCGCAAGCACAACTAGGTGAGTGCAACTAGGTGAGTACAATAGAGCCTTACTCCCTACACCGCGTGGATATTTTTCCCATTAGAGGAAAATGCAAGCTCACGTATGAAATTAAAAACAACAAAAAGGACAAAAATGCAATAAATTTGGGCACGGTATCAACTTTTTTCACACAGATAAAGAAAATAAATGTAATGAAATTTAAGGTGTATAGCGTTAAATCATAAACAGTGCGTGTTATGGTGTAATACAGTGTTGGGAGCAATGTTATAGTGAGATCTGGCGCTCGTCGCCGCTCCTGCTTCCAGTGCTGGTGGCTCTGTTTCCTGTTCTTGTCCTGTGAAATACTCTGGGGAAACTGGCAGTACTGACACATTAAATGAACACAAAACAAATGTTAAGTCTACAGAAGCTGTCTTATGCTATGATAGGGACTCTGATCGATCGTCTTATTGATTGGCCTCCTTCTAAAATAATCTTTCCCGCCTTTTCTCTTCACAGACGCTGTCTTATGGGATCTAATCTCATACACAACCCTCCCAGCATGAACCTGGCGTTGTTGCTACTGACGCCTCTCTTTCTCAGTACATACTTAAATGCTCTAAGCTTCTTAACACACATGATCTGACATAGATTTAGCTCCTCTATGCTCTCTCTTTCTTTCTCTACAGTTGCTATCTATATTGTGCTTACTTCACCACTTACTATTTACTGCATTTTTTTTATTAATATTAACTATGGTACACATGTTGCTTTATCGCCTTTCACCTCACAATCTTACCTTATACATTGAATCTCTCTTACACATTTTATTTACAGGACCTGATAACGGACCAGGACGGACCGAAAGGTCGTTACTTCTATATTTTGAGATGTGTGGGTTGAGCGTGTTATGACCTAAACGATAGCTGCAACAAGCAGCAGTTACAGTGTTCCTTGCCAGCAGTTACAGTGTTCCTTGCCAGCAGTTACAGTGTTCCTTGCCAGCAGTTACAGTGTTCCTTGCCAGCAGTTACAGTGTTCCTAGCCAGCAGTTACAGTGTTCCTTGCCAGCAGTTACAGTGTTCCTTGCCAGCAGTTACAGTGTTCCTTGCCAGCAGTTACAGTGTTCCTTGCCAGCAGTTACAGTGTTCCTTGCCAGCAGTTACAGTGTTCCTTGCCAGCAGTTACAGTGTTCCTTGCCACCAGTTACAGTGTTCCTTGCCAGCAGTCACAGTAAGTACACATATCTTGCACAGAAAAACTGTCAACAAAAACATACTAACAGCAACTGGGGTTTGCTTAGGACGTTTTGCAGCATCTTTCATCCTTTTTTACGCTACCGCTGGCGGGGTGTATAATACCTATCACTCGCAGCATGATTATAGTGCACAATAAACTGGCTGAACCTGACATAAACACTGAGGGTAAGTACAGTGGCAGGAGTTACTCATTACCTCGTCTCGTAGGTGCTACATCTTTTATCTTGGTCCGCCTCCCACGGCCTCCACGACGCCTTCGTCAGGTCCACCTCCAGCACGTCTCCTGCAAGATGGGTGCAAGAATTGTCCTGGAAATTGGGTCAACGTCAAGAATGTATCTTAAGGTTAAAGTCGGACACATACGAGTTTGCTGCCGAGAGTAAGAGGAAGACAATGTAGGTAATTCGCTTCCCTTGTTGTACCGACCTGCGAGAAGGGAAGCCGTCGCTGTACCCAATAGTCCAAGTGGCTTGGCAGGTCATGTTAGGATACAAAAGGTTAGAACGATAAGCGTCACTCTGGAGGTCAGTACTCACCAGGGTTGTGCTGGAGGCCAGAACTCTGCGGGGTCACTCTGGGGGTCAGTACTCACCAGGGTTGTGCTGTAGGCCAGTACTTTGGAGGTCAGTACTCACCAGGGAGTCTCTCAACGCTGCCGTGGAGTCTCTCCAACAAGGCCGTCGCCTCTCTCATCCTCCCGCGACACTCCTGTGCTGGAAATTATGGATCAGACCACGTCGACGGGCAGGGCGCCGCTGTGTTGTTTTGGTGAGTGTGGCGCATGACTGGTGCTAGGCCACGTGGATGTGACTGGTGCATGACAGGTGCTAGGCCACGTGGATGTGACTGTGGTGCATGACTGGTGCTAGGCCACGTTAGTGGTAGAACAAAGCCCAGTAACAGGCAATTTTGCTTTTTCCCTATGCCGGTCATTAGGCCTTGGCGTTACTCAATTTAAGAACATAAGAACAAAAGTAACTGTAGAAGTCCTATTGGCCCATACGAGGCAGCTCTTATCTATAACCACCCAATCCCACTCATATACATGTCCAACCCACGCTTGAAACAATCGAGGGACCCCACCTCCACCACGTTATGTGATAATTGGTTCCACAAATCAACAACCCCGTTACCAAAAAAGTATTTACCCAAGTCTTTCCTAAATCTAAACTTATCCAATTGTTGCTAACTTTAAATGAATTTAGGTTTTCATAGGATATATTTTTGACAGAATATAGTTAATTTGCTTTAAATATCAAGGAAATTACTGATTTCACCCAACCCAACGGCTAATGCATCGTTCCCTCTTGGTGGAGCAGACCTCATTAGGGATCTTCTTGAGGTTATCTTGAGATGATTTCGGGGCTTTTAGTGTCCTCGCGGCCCGGTCCTCGACCAGGCCTCCACTCCCAGGAAGCAGCCCGTGATAGCTGACTAACACCCAGGTACCTATTTTACTGCTAGGTAACAGGGGCATAGGGTGAAAGAAACTCTGTCCATTGTTTCTCGACGGCGCCTGGGATCGAACCCAGCACCACAGGATCACAAGTCCCGCGTGCTGTCCGCTCGGCCGACCGGATGATGACGTTTATATTATTAAGGTTATGAGAATATACGAATGACGGTAACTGCAGAAGGCCTCTTACGGGCTATTCATGCCCGTGCCACCTCTTAGGTGGCTTAATCTTTATCAATCAATCATCATCATCAGAAGGCCTATTTTACCTATACAAGGCCGCTACTATTTATATTTACCCAATCAAGTTCACATATATGTACAATGAATGAATAATTTGATTGGGTATTGATGGGTGAGTGAGGTATTGATGGCTACAGTGAGGTGTTCTGGGCGATAATGAGGTGTACATGGGGATAGCAGTATGGGAGGAATAAATGTAAATGTCTGAGTGATGTTATGGCTTTTTGTTTTGAAAATTATATAACAACAAATATTTGCATGTCCTTGGAGACTCCAACAGGGGTTAAGTAGTGTTCCTATGTTTAAGATCAGCTGGAGATCCTGTAGGTCACCTGTATGTGACTGATGCATGACAGGTGCTAGACCACGTGTATGTGACTGATGCATGACAGGTGCTAGGCCACGTGGATGTGACTATGAAGAGCAGCAGTGAGATTCAACAACTGTTAAGGATCACTAACGGATCGCAGCTCTCGTAAGTAACTAGCAACACAAACAAACAAACAAACATATCATCACTACATATAAAGGATCAAGGAATGACAAATTAAAAATGTACATGCTTTTTCAACCAATAATTAACCTATTTAACTGATACCGCCGGAGTTAGAAAGGTAGAGTGGAAGAGATAATGTAATCATTTGGTCTACACCAATATTAGCACAAGTATCTAGTTAAGATGCCGTAAGTGGTCCATAGTTGTAGAGGCACAAGTGGCATGTTGTCCATGCGGGAATGTGAGGTGATAACATAGCATTGTGGGGGAAATTCGTAAAGTCAATATTGACTTATTAACTACGTGCATAGGTGATATACTAAACATAATAGATACCCTTAAAAAGATTCATAGAAAACACCGACCTTACCTAACCTTGTTAGTATCTTAAGATAAGCATCTTATTGCTTCGTAATTACAATTATTACTTAACCTATACCTATTATAGGTTAGCTTAACCTATACCTATTATAGGTTAGGTAATAATTGTAATTACGAAGCTATAAGATGCTTATCTTAAGATACTAACAAGGTTAGGTAAGGTCGGTGTTTTCTATGAATCTTTTTAAGGGTATCTATTATGTTAAGTATGTCACCTATGCACATATTTAATAAGTCAATATTGACTTATTAAATTTGCGAGAACGGGTTGGTGGGGGATTATAGTGAGTAGTCAAGTTACCTGGTGGTTTATGGTGACTGTGGGCAGAGTTGCGGCCGTATCTGCAATACGAGACAACTTGTTAAAGTTACCATTTCACAATAACATATACCTCCCTCCTTCTCCCCCTCCCAACACTTTACATTCTTCACTAAATACTTCTTTGCTATGTCAATCATTCCCAAGGAGTAAATATTTTATCATTTAGATCTGATTAGCGGTAATATATTGTGTGAGAGGGGGACCTGATACAGGCACCTGGTGTACAAGCAAGTGAATGTGATGGAGACTTACAAGATGGTGAGGTAGCAGACGACCGCCCCCGTCACCACCAGCCACACACCTGGCGGTAGACTGCACCTTCCTCCCATGGATACCACACACCTGCAAACCAAGCGCCACTCGCATGTATATACTAATGAATGTTGTTTGAAGTAAACATTTGCTCACCGTGAACGTATTTGATGGTTTGGCCGCTAATGTTCACTCAGTGTTCACACAATGTTCACACAGTGCTCACACAGTGTTCACACAGTGCTCACACAGTGCTCACACAGTGCTCACACAGTGCTCACACAGTGCTCACACAGTGCTCACACAGTGTTCACACAGTGTTCACACAGTGCTCACACAGTGCTCACACAGTGCTCACACAGTGTTCACACAGTGTTCACACAGTGCTCACACAGTGTTCACACAGTGCTCACACAGTGCTCACACAGTGCTCACACAGTGCTCACACAGTGCTCACACAATGCTCACACAATGCTCACACAGTGCTCACAAAGTGTTCACACAGTGCTCACAAAGTGCTCACACAATGCACACACAGTGCTCACACAATGCTCACACAGTCCTCACACAGTGCTCACACAGTGCTCACACAGTGCTCACACAGTGCTCACACAATGCTCACACAGTCCTCACACAGTGCTCACACAATGCTCACACAATGCTCACACAGTGCTCACACAGTGCTCACACAGTGCTCACACAGTGCTCACACAGTGCTCACACAGTGCTCACACAATGCTCACACAGTGCTCACACAATGCACACACAGTCCTCACACAGTGCTCACACAGTGCTCACACAGTGCTCACACAGTGCTCACACAGTGCTCACACAATGCACACACAGTCCTCACACAGTGCTCACACAGTCCTCACACAATGCACACACAGTGCTCACACAGTCCTCACACAGTCCTCACACAGTGCTCACACAGTGCTCACACAGTGCTCACACAGTGCTCACACAGTGCTCACACAGTACTCACAAAACATTCGCCTAATTTAAAAACTAGCCCAATGTTTTGGAAGTTGGAATCCAGAGTAAGGTCAGCAGAGACAAGGAGGCCATCACAATAAAGACGATAGTGAAGATGGGTGATGAACACCGACTTAATTTATCGGACAAATAATTATTTCAGTAACATCTTTACAATCTTCCCATAAACAGTTACTATGCTCACAATCACCATTAATATTCCATTGATTATGGAAGTCGAGTGGGGCACCTCTTTATCTAACTGGGCCCAACACACTTACCCATAAAGACAGGCTATTTAACACAAGGGGCACACGCACAAGGGGACACAGGTGGAAACTGAGTGCCCAAATAAGCCACAGAGATATTAGAAAGAACTTTTTCAGGGTCAGAGTGGTTGACAAATGGAATGCATTAAGAAGTAATGTGGTGGAGGCTGACTCCATACACAGTTTCAAGTGTAGATATGATAGAGCCCAGTAGGCTCAGGAATCTGTACACCAGTTGATTGACAGTTTAGAGGCGGGACCAAAGAGCCAAAGCTCAGCCCCCCGCAAGCACAAATAGGTGAGGTCTCACACACACACACACACACACACACACACACACACACACACACACACACACACAGCGTGAGAGTAGTGGGAAAATGGAATGCACTTCAGGAACAGGTTGTGGAAGCAAATACTATTCATAATTTTAAAACCAGGTATGATAGGGAAATGGGACAGGAGTCATTGCTGTAAACAACCGATGCTCGAAAGGCGGGATCCAAGAGTCAATGCTCGATCCTGCAGACACAACTAGGTGAGTACAACTAGGTGAGTACACACACACACACACACACACGAAGGAAAAAGATGTACACCCATTGTGTCAACACTTGCATCAGAGGAGCTCCAGCATATTTCAACAATTCCTAAGTATTGTAGTACAGGTTGATGACAGTGAGTGGTGTCCCAATGAACGTAAAGGTGTTGTGTTTTTGAAAAATAGGTGAGATAACACGAATGTGTCAAGAGAAGTGAAGAAAAATGGATGAGAAAAAATTGCCCTGGTGTTAACAGAGCAGACGACGACATTCAAGATGGCCGCCGACAAGAGGAGAAACAAAATAGAGCTAGAGTTTGGGGGATTCAGTGAAGAAAACATTGATATAAGCAGTCTGCACAACACGTTGGTAAAATTAGATATAGTGAACTGTCATGTAGAAAAATCAGTAAATTGAAAGTAATGACCACTTGAGTAGCAAAGTTATAGGTCTTGAGGGTTTAGTGAAAGACTTGTGCAAGGACAAGAATTGTTGGAAACAAATTGCAAAGCCATGGAAGAAGAAAACAAACTCTTAAAAATATAGCTTTGGAAGAAGTTAAAGCTAATTTAAACATAAATGACTACAATAGGAGGAAATTTAACAGGAAAATTTCCGCTTTTGTCAACACAGATGGAGGAAGTTACACAGGGAATAGAAGAGTGCAAGAAGGATATGCAACTGACCTATGTACACGTGGTCAAGGAGAAGGAAAAAATAGATGAAGAAGTAAAGAAAGCCAAACACTGCAGCAACCAGGATAAAATAAACATTAGGCTGGAAGTGAGAGAGAAATTGGCGTCTAACCCGAAGTTGGTGCAAAACACAGTTGATCGAAGTCCTTGATAATTTTTGGTTGCAAATAAAAGGAGATAACATCTAAGTAAGAAAGAGCTGTAGAAGAAGAGAAACTAGTAGATAAAATTGTTGGCCTCGTGGAAGGTCTTGAAAGGTACGTAAAAGGGAAAGTTCGACCTTTGAGGATCACCCTAAACGGTGTCAAACAGATGGAAGAAGTACCAAGGAATGCTAGAAAATTACTAAGTGATGAGAATGGGAAAGTGTGGTCGTTAAGACGAGACCTTTCAAGAGAAGACAGAGAAGAGCAGAAACTAAACCTCGTCGAGGCAAAACGTCTAAATGAGAGCAAGAAGGAAGGTACTCGCTTCGGCAGTACACATACTATGGAAGGAAGAAGAAATCAATTATTTTTTCTACAAAGTGATAGAGGTAGGCAGGCCAGTAAAATGGTACCAAAAAGCAAACCAACAAAATCACTAGAGAAAGTGGTAGTGAAGAATAAGGAGAAGGGGGAACATATTCCTGAAAATTGTATACACCAACGTTGATGGAGTGAGATCAAAGATACTGAAGTTAAGTGATGTAATACAGCTGCAGATGCCAGATATTGCTGAGCTGACGGAGACGAAACTTGAAAATGTTATTTTAAACGAGGTCATATTCCCAAGGGGCTACTCAGTCTGGAGACGGACATAAATATTAGTTAAGGCGGTGGCGTTGCTGTGCTGGTGCAAATGGAATTTAATGTGAATAAATGCCATGTTATGGAATGTGGAAGAGGAGAACATAGACCCCACACAACCTATATATTATGTGAGAAATCTTTAAAGAATTCTGAGAGAGATCTTGGGGTGGTTCTAGATAAAAACACTCATCCTGAGGACCACATAAAGAACGTTGTGCGAGGAGCCTATGCCACGCTTTCTAACTTCAGAATGACTTTTAAATACATGGATGAAGAAATACTAAAGAAATTGTTTACGACTTTTGTTAGACCAAAGCTGGAATATGTAGAGGTGTCCATATCTTAAGAAGCACATCAAAAAACTGGAAAAGGTGCAAGGACATGCCACTAAGTGGCTCCCAGAACTGAAGGACTAGAGCCACGAGGAGAGGTTAAAGGCATTAAATATGCTAAACTAGAAACTTGTCAAGCACAAGACGAAGCTGGAGAAAGTTCAGTGATATGCCACTAGACTAGTCCCAGAACTAAGAGGCATGAGTTACACCTCATGGAAGTACGGAGGTACGGAAGACAGGAGAGCTTGGCGAGACATGTTCACAACATACAAACTTCATAGGGGAATTGACAGGGTAGACAAGAATGGAATATTTAACACGGGTTGTACGCGAACAAGGGGGACACAGGTGGAAGCTGAACACCCAAATGAGCCACAGAGATATTAGAAAGAACTTTTTCAATGTCAGAGTAGTTAACAGATGAAATGCATTAAGTGATGTGGTGGAGGCTGACTCCATACACAGTTTCAAATGTAAATATGATAGAGGCCAGTAGGCTCTGTACTAAAGTTGATTGACAGTTGAGAGGCGGGACCAAAGATCCAAAGCTCAACCCCCCAAGCACAACTAAGTGAGTACACACACACGTATACACACACACACACACACACACACACACACACACACACACACACACACACACACACACAATTTGTATACTATTTATACAGTGTTCATCTAAATTAGAGTCTATACCGACATACGTGTTGAGGTACTCCAACGACGTGTATACACGTTATAAACTGGAAATTATAACCCACCTAAGAGATCATTGACTGAATTTCAGGCTACTCAGTAATATGCTAATCTGAGAGCATATAACTCGCAGACCAGCCTTGCAGCTGCTCTAATTACACACACTGTGTGGACTCCTGTCATCCCTGACAGCTTGGAGAGAGCCAGAATCCCTCACGCTCTCTCTCACCCAATGGTCGAGCGTTTGAACATTTTAGTATACAATACAGTTGTGTGTTGCTGGGTACTTGCGGGTACTTGAGGTACCCCCCTCGACACTGACGGCGGAGGTACCCCCCTCGACACTGACGGCGGAGGTACCCCCCTCGACACTGACGGTGGAGGTACCCACCCAACTAGCCAACGAGACGGAGGAATGGAATTATCAGGGGAAGGCGCCAGGGCATTACGACTATATAGAACTTGGAAGGGGATCAGGATAAGAATTTGGGATGGGACGGGGGGTAAGGAATGGTGCCTAACCACTTGAACTGTTGGGGATTGAACGCCGACCTGCATGAAGCGAGGCCGTCGTTTTACCGTCCAGCCCAAGTGATTGGGTGCGATGAGGAGGAAGATAACATTATTTAGTCTCAATTTTCCTCAACGTTTACGGCTCTCTTTCCTGTTTCCAATGTAGTTAGTTAACCCAGGTATAACAGTGGTATAACTGTAGTATAACAGTAGAATAACAGTATAACCCATCAACACGGACGGCGGAGGTACCCACCCATCAACACGGA